AGTATAAAAGTGCACGTTCTTCGATCCTTTTTGTAGTCAATGCCTTAAACAAATCGAATTAGTTGGCAACGCGACGCAGCACTGTTTGGCAATTGATGCACAACACGCGAACTGTAAACAGAATTCGAATGAATTTTTTAAGGCTTTAATTCAACGAAGCTGCTATACCCTTCCACATGAGACTAGTTAAAGAATGCAACTTAAAAAAAAAACATCAAAACCGCTCGAATTGCGTTGATACCTTGTGATATATTAGCTAGGTAACATTAGTCAGTGATATTTAAAAGATAGGATGTAACCATATCTTGAACATAAGAAAAATATATAACATAAGAAAAATATCTTTCCACTTTTAACATCCGCTAAAACTGTACACATATGTTACCTTGTTAATTAAAACACTTGAATTATATATTATGGAATGTTAAAAAAAAAACCATGTACTCTTCAAAGAATCGGCTTACAATGAATTTAAGTATTTAATTTTCAACTGAACTAAATTTTATATTTGATACAAATTCCAAAAATGTTGAAAAAAACTTCACATTTTTTAATGGAATTATGCTATGAAATATTCAAGAAATAAGTTGAGTTGTTATGTGTGAATGCAATATTGTCTTAGCTGAATTTAATATTGTCATAGCTGCTTTTAGAAATGTTAGATTGATAGTTTATAGTTCTATAATACACTGTTAATAATAAAATTTTAAAAATAAAAATGTGTAATCACTATGATGGACAAGTTTCACAAAAAGTCGTAAAGTCCTCACTGCAAGGTATTCAACCTTTCTTTCATAACGATGATGAGGCTACACGCCTCTTGTGCAAGCCAAAAAAAGTTCCTGGACTAACACAAACTTAGATGCTCACACGAGGCAAATCGCTCGATCGAATGTACTGATATAAATTATCCCAATTGCAATAGGAGCGCGTAAGGTGCACAAATACAAAATGCAATCGCAGATGCATTATAAAAAATTCTCTTTTTAATTGTCTCTAAGCAATCCCTAACCAATTTCGGATTACCTTTTTAATTGCTTAAGGCTTAGGCGTATTTGTATTGGGCTTAAAAGTCTTTTACAGGCCGGTGCATTTCTCAATTTTCTGCATTTTATTTCGCTTTCAGTGTGTGTGTGGGTGCAATAAGCGGCTTTGATCAGGTTCATGTTTGGGCCGTGGGTCAGTATATTTTGAGGACGGGGGGTTGGGTAAGAGTGGTACAATGAAGTTGGGGAAAAAAAACAAAAAACGAGTCCTCACAAGTTAGGTCTAAAGCAACACATACAACTTAACAGCATCTCAATCAATGCGTGGCTACAATAAAATTAGAATAGAATTTTAAACAGAAATATTTAAGCTATAAACATATTAATATTTCTAAGCGCTGCACAAAAACTTTATTTCCGAACAGAGTATAAGATTTAATAGCTGATAAAACTTTGCTGATATGTCAAAAGTATAATAACTAACTCCTTACCCTTACTAACTCCTACCCTTAATTTAAATTACTTCCTAAGAAACGATAAAGCAAAAATAAAGTACCTTAATGAAAAACGACTCTATTCTAAAATATATCTTAAATTAAATAACCATTCACAAGCTTTACCATACTTCTAAAATATAAGCATATGCTATCAATATCGGACTCTCATATCGCTTGGCTCCTGTGGGGACAGTATGTCAAAAATTGATTTTCCGTGTCTATATCTGTATATTCTAAATGCTTTTAACAAAGTTTAATAAGAATCCTGTAAATATTGGATTGCTTTAGCAAAAAGTTAACAAAATAAAAAATCGGGCATTAGTATAAATAGCATTTTTGTCTTTCGAAATATAAATGTATCCAAATGTATCCATATGCTCAACCATAGCATATATCTAAAGAACCTATATAATAAGCCAAATAGCTTCAGTGTATTTTATCTTATTGTTCCCTCTTTACAATACTTCTACAATATATGTATGTATCTAATATTGTCATTACTTTTCAGAGTACATTTCTTTATTGCTTGCCGATTTCACATTAAAATACTTCACAACACCACAGTTAGAGGACGGCTAAGTCAAAGCGAGATAAAGAACTGAAAGGGAAATGAAATAAAAACTAAATATGATTGCCAAAATATTTGAGGGACTGACAAGCGACGAGAAACCCGCAATTAGCTAAACGTTGCACGTTGCCCAAGAGAAATTAACGAGAACTGAGCGACCTGCCCCCAAATGCCAGCGACATGTGCCCCAAGTATCACACTGTCGCCGTTCATAACATCAATCCCGATAATCAAAAGCATTCCATTTAATTTGAACTTTTTGCATGGTGATCGACACGATACGTCCGGACCACGACCGTGCCAAATCAAAGAGTCCAAATCTAAACCAATAATAAAGTTAAATCGATAATTGAGGTCAAGCAAAAGGTATTTTTGGGGCTGATAATATTTTGTATATCGGAGCATTTGGCGCGCATACGTGATCGTTTAACTGTAAATTAAATATAATTTACCAATAAGTATAATTACAATACGTAGTTTTGTTTTTGTTGTGCTCCTTTGGTTCGTTTTTTCTCTGCGCAAATCTGGCATTCAGTGAAACTTACGCTTGCGATTTGGCTGATCCCTTAAGCCACGCCAGACGCATAAATCATCAAGCAAAGCATTTTTGGATCGATAACTGTTCAGTCTGATCCTCTAACCGTGAGATCGTTTGCCGATTTGTCCGTCTGTATAAACGTGCCACGCAGTTAATGTTGGTTTATCTTTCTGCCACGGTTGATCGAACACGCTCGTTTTGTGCGGCTGCATTTAATTAAACTCTAAATTAAAATTTGCCAGCGTAATTCAAACGTTTTCTCTATTTTTTGCTTAAAGTGCAGAGGACACATTATGATCAGAGCTTTAAGTATTTTCAATACCGCACCCAATGTAACTAGAAAGTATGTTGTTAGCAAGCGCGCCCTCTTTATGCCTACATTTCAACTCATTCATTTATTGAAAAATAACTCCATTTTCGATTGATCATTCCTAATGCAGTTTTAAATTGATGGTTTTTACCAAAACTAAAAACATAGCGAGGCTTTATTTATATATATACATCATCAAGATTTATCCATTCTTGATCAGCGTCAACGGTCGAGTCAATCTGATCGATGTATGAAAGGGCAGATCTAATAGACTATTTAAAATAAGAACATTAAATGAATGAAGTTTCTCATTTGAAAGGCGCAGACTAAGTTTTGTTTTTAAAATATCGACAACTTTCCCCTTCTCTGAAATAGACAAAGATAATATCGGTTTGTATTTTTTGAGACTTTGCCGTAAGCATCCTGGTAACCTTTAGGCTATGGTCAACAATTTTGGTACATGTTCACGTAAAGTATCTCAATATGAATTTTATGCTCAATTTGTTTTAAAATATGTAACGTACAGAAGGAGATTTTCAGTCTCCATACTTTTACTATCAAATATTGAGCCCAGCACAGTTTGCTAGTTTAGAAAAACTTGTGTATTTAAATATACATACCATAACCAGGAAGTAGTATGGTTTTAATTTGTTTTTAGACTACCCTTAAGACTTATTCAGTCTGATATTTCAGTGGTTCTGTGGTAAGATAAGCTAGATTTATTTAAAAATTAGACTGAATTTTCTCTTTTTGCTCCATCTCAATTGGGGCACTCAAACGTTCGCTAGTACAAGTGCCTTAATATGCAGGAATGTGGTATCGTCTTCTACCCAATGACTTGGGGGTGAAATGGAAAATTAAATAACACAGGATTACAGATATGACAGTGATTTAGCAATATCCTGGTTACGTAGAGATTGCAAAATTGATTAAGTCTGGATGCTGCCGTGTATCTGCTGCTTCAGTATGTAGGCATACTCAACGATACACAATCCATCTTATTGCTTCGGCTGTTAATGATTCCGTACAACTGTTTGCCTTTGGGATTTACAAGTCAAGACCCGTGCTTCTATGTGCTTGGCATTGCAATCAATAAACAATTTTTGATTCTGATACCAGCATGAATCCAACTGCCAACTGTGCAATTTGTTTCAAAGAACATCTATTTTGGTATTTAATACTATTTTTATCCAACAAACACCGCCTCGGTTCATGGTTTAAACCAATGCCTCGGTCTAATGTTCGGTTCGCGAACCTGGTTTCCCAAAGCTGTGAACCCATAATAATATTCAATTTATTTATTGCTACGAATTTTGAAATAAAACTTTCAAGTAAGAAAAAAAATAGTCTGTTTTGGAATGTGAATGTGGCTTAGGTACGGCATTTTTTATTCAAATAATCCCCTGTAAGGTCCGGTTCATGGTACATATGATGAGTGAATGAAATGAATGAAATATAATGTAGTTCTTGAATCAGCAGATTTTTATTTATCAACCGTAGCTCAATTTCTGTATGCCGGAGCCATTGTCATTGCAGGCATTTGTTGAAAAATGCTTCTGTCAAGCGCATTCTAGGAACGGATTTGGCTAGAATGGCTGATGATTTTATGGCCTTGGCAAAAAGGTAACAAGGGTAGACTGAGAAGGTAAGTATACAGAAGCAGTTAAATAGTGAGATGCGGATTTAACAATAATAACAACTTGAAGAACTTTGAAGAGTCTCCATTGGTACGTGTGGAATGTAGTGTTATTTTCTTAAAATAATAAGTTAGCGATCTACAGTATTTATTGTTTTTAGTATCTTTTATATTTTCCTTGCTGACTACTATGAGCACCACATCTACAGCACAACTTTAAGGGTATTTAATCTTCAGCATGCCTTTTCAGAAGACGTTTTTAATAACTGTCTAAACTTGTATTAAATAAATAAAGCTCCTAAGTCGCTTAATAATCTGAACCCAATTAAAACGCAATTCAAAACATGCACCTAAAAGCCCCTTCTTCTTTTAGATGGTGCCCCACATAAATAAAACATCAAAGTTAAAGCCAACTGCGACAGTCGAAACCAGTTGACTGCCTTCCAATTAAAACAAAATAGTGCGTTTATGCATTTGCAATAATAATTTATTATGTATTACTGTTAAACTTCACTTTTTGTTAGGGTTGCTTTTCTCTGGTTGCTGATTTTCTGTATTTTTTCTGCATTATTTAAATGGTATTTATTGTAATAATTTGTATATTTTTGCAGCGAGCGACAAATGTTGCACAATTAGTTAACACTATTGTTTCAATGTATAGTATTATCTTTTAAATATTATGTTTAGTGACTATTGTGACTAAATTTAATGTAATGTTTATATTTTTAGTATATATATAATAGCATATGAAGCGTTAAAATATATATTTAATGTCGAGTTTATAACACATTTTTCAATTAAGAGTGTATTTATGTCTAATTATCTATATTAATTTATATATTATTATTACTTTAAATTGTATATGGTTTAATGGGTAAGCATGTGAAATACTTGAAGTGTTTACTTTATAAAATATAGCTAAATATAGCTTAATGCGTTTCTAAGCTAATAAATAAATTAAAACAAATTAACTCCAGCTTACTCGCGCCAGTACCAATATTTTAATACCTATTTAAAACACTAGAAAGCGCCTTTTAAAATATTTATACATACATAGGTACGTATAACAAACTATATATTAAGCTTTTGTAGTTCGAAGCTATGATAAAATGTGTGGCTTGATTCTCAATGCTAAATATGTCAACTAGTAGAAGCCAATAAAGGCAGCCCTGCACTACTTTTAAAAGCCTTTACATGCCTATATACAAAATGCTAGTAGCTATCCATAAATCTAAAGCATTCAACTGGGTTATATCTATGCTTTATATCTTGGTATCGGAAGTAATTTATTTTCGCTATTTAAAAGTATCTACAAATAGCCGTTCCAACGCTTTTCGCACGAACATTCTCAATATTCATAACTGGTTTAAATTCTTAAAATATATATATATGTATATACATAAGATTGCTCTAAAATGTTGGAGTTCTGCATTTTGGTCCGGCCGCGCTCACAAGACGCGCACTTCTCAATGCCGCCACCTGGATTGCACTTTGAGATCAAATATCCTTGTCGCCTTTGGCAAAAGCTGACCGCATTAGAAGCTTAGTTGGCACTTCCAAAGAGCACCGAGTTCTTGTAATATGCCGTCGGCCTCTCCGACAAAGGACTTTTCACATCGCGCTCAGCATTCGCTGCACGTGTTTTGCGCTCCATTTCCAGCTCCTGTGCGAGGGATTCTTTAAAAACAATTGTAAGGATAAAGCATGATGGAAAATTATCAACTAAGTTTCTTAACCTTAAATTAATCATTTATATGAATAAAGCTCCTTTTAAAGAAAACTTCTAGCCTTGTTCTTAAGAGTTTTTCATCATTAAGCGGGTCAGCGGTGATTTGCTATATCTCCTATGTTCTCTAAAGACACATCACACATTGTAAGATACATACAGACAGAAGAAGAAACAAACAGACGGATTTAACTAGAACGACTCGGCAATTGGTGATCAGCAAGAATATACATATATACTTTATGGGAACGGAAAAGCTTCCTTCCACACACCAATTACATCTGCACACAACCATTTTACACTTCTTTTGCACATTTTCTAAAACTTGCCCTAATTTTTTTTAAAAACAACCCCTTTGCTTGGGAAACAGGTCCGCAAGCCCTCAAAGCTTGATATTTATTTCTAATGTAGATTATTGAATATTGAATGCAGATCAAGTTTTTTTAACTAGTTTGATCACAATTCTGGTCCGATAAGCTTAAAGCACAACAAAGCATCAGAGTCATCAGAGCTGATTCGCTGTTTAAATGTCTATTGTCTGTGCGTTATGCGAATTTATCAGTTTTAACAATATTTTGATTAAACTTGTCAGAGATCGTATTTATTATTGCTCTAACTTATTCAGGGCTGCCATTAATGTTAGCTTGATTCACGTTTGGTAAAAACCACCAACGCTCTGTATTTAGGTTCACTTCGTAAACGTGGTTTTTCATACTAGTCAGAACTACCTATAGCACAATAAGATGAAATTTATTTGAAGTCATCGATAGCTAGCCTGGTTTTCCGGAAATCGTATAGAATCAAAATAAACTTCATTTATTTTGAGCACATATCTGAGCTTATAAGAAAGAGACACCACATTTAGTATGTAGGCTCTCGTATAGTATACACAGAATATTTTACTTTTTGGATACCTTTATCTGATGCTGCTAAAATTAATAATCATTTATATTTATTCCCGAAATATTTAATTAGGCTAACACAGAAGGCATTTCCCATGGTTTTGAGAGCCCCTACATTAACTAACGCAGCAAGCGAGGTCTTTATGATCAAAGAAAGGCAGAATGTTTCTTTGGCAGCTTGGCGCTGTATTCATGGTATCTTTTAGTCGGACACTTCCGACTGGAGCAGTGTAACATGTAACATGTATCCAAACAATTTGTCAAAAACAAACAACTGTTCCGATTAAAGGTTCGGCTCAATAAACACAAGAAAAAATAATATGTGTTCGGTTATTTGCGGTGTCTTATTGGGTTTCCTTAGATTTTGAAAATATCAACGCCAAAGTCAGCATTTGAATGAGAAAATTGTTGGTTTTCTTAATAACAATAAGGTGGATTATTATGAAATTATTATTTTTACTAACATGGACTTTAATGCTGTATGAAGAGTTGAACGAAAACTCATGTCTCTCAGAAACTAATTAGATGCGGAATTAAAAGTCTGCATCGGTATTTTATTATCGGCATCTTGTTATCTTTCAGTTCTTTTTTGTAAGGAATTCTGGCTAACGAAGGAAAGGAGTATATCGATTTGTGCATTGTCTGTTTATTTTATCTGTCCGTCTGTGCCTATAAATGCAATTTACGCAACTATACTGAAGTGACTGAAGATTTTTTAGTACACTCGTAAGAAGATTCGCGTCGGAAAAATGCCAGCTCAGCTTTTAAGCTAGCAATAAGTGGTGGCGGGCATTCACGGATGACCCCTCTTAAAAATGCAAGGACTTATCAGGACGGAATTCTTGTATTTCAACTCACCCGAATAATTTTGCCAGAAGGCGCCAGTGGCCATCAGATCGATGCCTGGATAGCTCCAAGTAGCCTTTCCGTTGCCAGTAGCAGCTGTAGCTGCAGCGACAGCGGCTGCTGCCAAGCTGCCCTCAGCGGCGGTGGTAACAGAAGCAGCAATGGGTGGTTGGTCCTCGCGATCACGACTGGAGCAGCGCGCTTCATTATCGCGGACAGCGCTGCTGCACTGTTGGCGCTCCATGGAGCCTTCGTGATCGGAGTGCGGCTCGCGTTTAAAGTGGGTAGGGGGATCCGAATGTGTGGCGGATGCCGCCTGGACCGTTTGACTGGTCACGTCACATGAGGAGCTTAAGGACTTCTCAGACTTATCACTGCCGCCACGACTGCCGCAGTCAGTATCTATGGAGTTAAAAATAAAACAGAGGGCGCTGTGTTGGTTATCAAAGCGTTGGGCGCAGGGGGGATCGAGAGATCCGAAAGCGAAAGGCGGTGGGGAAGATGGGATATTGTTAGCCATGCTTTGTGGTCGCCTCTGCTTTTGCCTTAGCACTTACCTTTTAGCGCCTCAGCACCTTCGCTGCTAATATTGCTGCATTTGCCATCGGCGGCGCTGCCTGCACACAGCTCTGCCTCGCTGCAGGTGACGTTGTTGGCATTCGAGCTTGTGTTGCCTTTGCTGCTCTCATCGCCCAACTGTTGTTGATACCGGATACGAATCTTGCGCTCGCGTCTGAACCGTTTCTGGTAGAGCACTATAAAATGTTAAAAAAAGAAAATCGGAGAAACAATCAGAATCATATTCAACATCCCAATCTCTCTACAGTTCGATAATTTTCATATTTATATATATACCTAGAGGGCAACACTATACATTAACTGATATATCTCGTAATTATATATTTTGGGGGAATCGGAGAGAATATTGAAAGTTTAAAATAAGCTCGAATTGCGTATGCACATACGTTTCTTATATTATGATTAAACAACTGTAAATACCATGATAAAATATTTTTTTATATATTTTTTTGACAATGAGGGGAGTTATAAAAAGTGAAATATTTGAGATCTGTTTATTCTAAACGAAAATCTAAGCGCTCGGTTTATTCTATCAAGCTTTTATAATATTTGAGTTATGATTAAATAAAATATATCAAAATCTTTTTTTTTTCCAAATATTATTGGAATGGCGCAATATATCGACAAAGATAATGAACTCCTTCTGCGGAGGGTAATATATATTGATAATTTATAGCTTTTCGAGTTTCCGAGACGCACAAACGGACTGGAGGAGTTCTCTAACCGACCCAGTCAAACAAAACAGCAAAAATCTTTGCACGAATTCCCTGTGTAGACTCTCATGTTAGCCAAAGTTAGTAAAATAACATAATAATTATATATTTATTATAATTATAATTATTATTACCTTTATTATAATATTAATTTTAATTAAAATTTTTAAGTGAGCCTTGCATCAAGTGCTTTGAGGGAATCCGCAAAGTCAAGGTTACTTAAAACTAAAATCACGGTTGGTTGACTTCACGCTCTTTTTTGTTCATGTTTAACAGTGTACATTTTACGGCTAAAAACAGTTTATTTCGATCTAAAAAAGAAATAATATAAAGCAAGCAACGGCCCCTTTTTCGCTTTTGTCTATATTTAGATATATAGAAGAAATTACCCGTCGCCTCTGGAATCAATTGAATAATGTTGAAAGTGCAAGTGAAATTTCGAGCCAACTTCTGTCATTAGAGACCCCCTCTAATGGCCACCACGAGTCTACGCATTCACCTCAAACCCGTCCCCCACACAATCTGCTAATTACCAATTGACTAGTGCCATGTCCACTGAACTCTTGCCCAGGTTATTTACCCGTGTGACCGCTTTATATCGGGACTAACACATTATCGGTCCCATTGTCCCTGTTGCCGCGCAATAATTAAACTAACTAGCTAAGAAACTCATTACCGCTCTATTTGCTCATATTAATAATGTTTCATTTAAATTGTCTCTCTCTTTAACTGCAATAAGCAACAATATTCTGGTTAAATTATACTGGCTCTTGATTGTGTGACTCTTGATCTTAGTGCTCGAAAGGAAACTTCAATAAACGTTTCAGATTAGTAGCTTATATGGCTTGCAATGTGCATTCATTCGGGAAACACTTTTACAGATTGGGTAATGGGTATCTCCGAGTCGATCTCTTTCAACTAGAACACTCTTGTTAAATAGAAATCGAGGGTTTGCTGTTCTGGCATTGATGCTGCTTACAGATAATTGAGAAAAAGGTAGAACCCCAAGAACTGACGGATCCTCAATTGCGTATCCGCCCGCGTGGGTGTGGACGCGATTGCGCTTGCTGATTCTGATTTGGCGGCAGTTATATCATAGAAACAGAAACTGATTCAAGCACGATCGTCATCAATGAACACTGATCAACTCAGTCAACCGTGGCTGCAGCCATTTAAAGGGTGTATCGAATTCACATTGAATTCGACTTATTAGCCAATGGGACCGGCAATGCTCAAAGACCGAATGTGCAAAATTGTGTGTGTTGCTCTGTTGCACTCGTTCTCTCCCTGCAATTGCCGCTTTTTGGCATGTTCGACAACCTTAAGATATTTATCGCTTGCTTTATTATTATGGGCAATTAGATGCCTGTGTGGCTTTTGCATAGTTGTGGTCATAATCTGAATGTTGCCCGGCCCCAAACACATTTCTGGTGGCTCCGACATGCATAAATGCAGTTTCATTAACAGATTTATGTGCGCTACTCTGAATGCGAATATCAGAAAGGAATGGCAAATGAGAACAGAACTAAAACACAGCGTGAGAGAGATTTTTGCGGTCGGGTACAACTGACTGCAGAATACTCTGTTTACAGAGCAATAAGAGTGTTAATTAGTCGAATAAACATTTCTCGTACAGATCTTTGGTGGCTTTAGGAAATACCGATCCTTGCAATTATTTTTTACTTATTTCTTATTTTCAGCGTATGCATGGTATAAAGAAAAACTGAACACAATTACAGTTCAGAGCTAACAATTTCGGTAGCTAAATTGGCGTTTACCAATTCGTAAGTGTCGGCGTCGTAAATTTGAAAGCGACCAAGAAGTGGACCACACAGAAGTCATACTATTAGTAGTTAAACGTACTAACAATTGTTAGTAATGTAGTTTTTGCCTTGGTATGGTACCAGCAAATGGTAATGCGTACTTTTAGATATTTTTTGTACTCTCCCACACATCTACTCTCTACTCTAAATGCATGATATGGACGTATGATATTTAATGGGCCCCATAGTAATTGGCGGAACGGTTTCTTGTTTCAAATATGAATTACAATCAATGTAATGCAAAAATGTGGCTGTCCACGCTGACACATTGCCAACTCACCCTTAACGTTTGTCTAGAGACGCTCACACCCACGATTCGACAACCCTTTTAGTCTTTTGGAGTCATCATAAACATAATAACAACCAATTAAAAGATCTTTGTGTGTGCGTCAAGTAAAACTTTTTGTCTGTAACCAAAAGCAACTCGAATTCCAAACTCAAAGCCCCCAGCCCCCACAACCCCTTTCAGGCATCTTCGTCTAATGATGTGGCGTCGTCGTCGTCGTCGACGTTGTCGTCATCGTCGTCGCCGTAGCGTCGATGTTACGTCGGAGTTGCTACTTTTTGCCAATCGCTCGAGTGTAACTAAATAATGAAATGATATTAAATTCATTTGAATTGTGATTTCTCTTGAAAAGGTCCCGGTACAGCAAAGAACGAAACAGAACGGCAGCTTCGGACTTAAAGCCTATTTTGAGTCCGGCGACAACCAGAACGACCACCAGAGCGCCGACAGAGAAAGACGAGCAGTGCGGAAGAGTGAGGCAGTCGACATATCAGGTGTCATTGTCATTTGAGTCAGTTTACATTAAGCGCACACGATTGGAGCTGGCATAGGCACTCTACTCACTGCAGCGCTGGGAACAGCTCGCAGAAGGCCTGGTTCATCGTGAAAAGGGATTGGTGCTAACTCAAATATTGGGGAGAATTTATATGAAATTATGAATAGACATAAACTAGTTATCTATATTTGTGTGTATACATATACAAAGCACTGTTTGTCCCAACTGACTGACTGACTGACTGATTGGTGACCAACTCACAGATTAAATGGTAAAAGCTAGAAAGCTTCCTTTTAGGGCGAAGAGAGCACAATTTGGGCTAAGTGGAGGTCACAGTTTGTCGGAAAAGCATTTCAACCTGTGTAGTTGAGGTGTCTGAGCGTCGACCTGCTCGAGAAATACGGCTGGCGACAGGGTTATACAAATATGGCTAAAAAGGGTATAACAGGTTTGTTCAAATGTTTGTAATAGGCAAAACGAGTCATACCCGACCTCCTAAAATAAGCTCTTGTATAGTTCAAAAATATCTAGAATATTTAACTCTTCTGGTAAGGTACCAGAAACGGGAAAAGGTTTCCCGATCCCCAAACATTTTTAAAATTTTAAAATTATATGATTTTTTAACAATGAACAGAAGTCATTTAAAAATGTATTTTTTGTAGTTTGTGGAATGTTTAGTGTATTTTGTATTAAAGAATCTTAGGCAGCTCGCCGCTGGGTTCAGGGTATCTTCTAATCGGGCACTCCCGACTAGATCGCTGTTTATATTTTATTTTTGTTTGTCAGCTTTAATAAGGGGATCAACTTTAAAGAAATTTAAATTATTAAATCGTTTTGTGTATTATTTGTTCACACACTTTTAGAACTAATGTGCTTAAAACTGAAATGGGAATATCGAACTCTAACAAATCTGTATTTTGTCATCAATTTGGCGGATAACCTGTTTTAAGTCATTGAACTGCGAACTGTGAAGCTATTTGCCCAGGTACATTGCTTTACTAAAAATTGCATTCCAAAACATTAATTTCATTTTGTGTGAATTATTAAAATGTTTATAAAACACCTTAGTTATGCAAATAATAGCATTTTTAATAAATTATATAAAATAAATAATAAAAAACACATCATTTAATATGTATGTCGGCGGGAAGCAATCTAAACATAATTTGCAAACAACAATGTGCGACCTGCTGCCAATTTTGAGATTCTAGTTAATTTTAGCAAATTTCATGCAAATATTTATTTCTTATTTTTTTGTGCACCCAAGAAGATTTTTTTGTATCTATCTATATATTATCATAGACTGGAAATGGCATTGAATTTTATGTTCTGATTTGACTAAGATTAGTCTTATTGTACAACTTGTGGAAAATCCATTACTTCATTCATTGATTTAAAATTTGAACACCTACAATTTGAAAAAAAAAATTCCAATTCAACTATTATTCACAATAAATTAAAAAGCACCTTGTTCTAACCAGAGACCGGCAATATTCATTGTGAGTATAACGTGTGAACGGGATATACAAATTGTTCTGTACAATCGATTAGGGAATGTATATTTTCCGATCCGATAAGTACTTATAACACCTATAACTTTTTCAGTTTCTTATGGAATACGTCATCGATTAATTCAAACAGTAGTTTTAAACTTACCACGTAGTTTGCGCTCGTCGACAAGCTGACGTTCCAGGGAATCTTTAACCTCGCGTTCGCGTAGTATGTCCATCTTAAGCTCGGCTGTGGAGAGCGCATAAAGAGAAAAAGAGAAAGGAAAACGAAAGAGAGGAGTCGAAAATTATTTCCGGTCACATACAACACGATTTACTTTGCATATGAAAAAAGATTATAGCTATCCGTCAACTTACCTTTCTCATAGCTGATCTGCCGTTCCTGCTGCCTGGCATTGTCTGCGGCCACCTTCAGAAGACTTTGTATGTTCCTCAGCAACGTTTCCGTGGAGCTTGCGGGCACAACGGCATGAGCATCGAGGCCGAGCGGACCCAGAGCCAACCCGCCAGCCAGTGCAGCGGCCGCAGTTCCATCATTGGAAGCCACCAACAACGCCTCATTAGGCGTCAATGCCCCACCCACGGCGGGTGAAGGCCCATTAGCTGCTGCCGCTCCGGCGGCGGCGCCTGCCGCACCATTGGCCACGGCAGCAGCAGCCGCTAGCTGGGAGTAATTCAGGGCGCGCTGATGCTGCAGTGCTGCGGCGGCGGCTACATCAGCCGTCGGTGATCCGTGCTGGCCAACCACGCCGAGATGATGCGCTTGTCCCGGATGATGGTGTGTGGCGGCTGCAGCATGTTGATGCAAGTGAGCAGCAGCTGCAGCAGCGGCGGCGGTAGCGGCCGCCGAACCCGTGGATAGATTATCACGCTCCGTGTCACTCAAGTCTGTTAAAAGACATACAAAGCAGTCGGAGTCAGTCAGCCAGTCAGACTTTGTAAACGTTATTGTTTATCGCAAAGGCAAAGTTTACTCACCCTCGTCGTCTTTTGCCAAGCAGCGTTCATCGACTTCGGATTGGTTCTCGTCGCTCAGATTCTCTTCCTCCTCGTCGTCCTCGACGCCAATTATGGGACCGCCGCCAACGCTGCGGCTGCCTTCGTCTAGGCTGCGCGACCCACGCGGCGATGGCGCTGCCGAAAGACAATCGCTGCGGTCGCTGCCGGCGTCGCAGTTGCTGCCGCCATGGTCCGTGTTCCCGCCGGACTTGCTCAAGTTGAGAACTGGACTTTGGCGCGTGGGGGAGCCTGCAGGGTACGCAAATCGAAACAACTTATCAGCACTTGCCTCTCCAGCCACTGTCCATCTATTCTCCTTACAATTGCGCGAGCTAAGATCCCTGGGCTTCAACTCCCGCTCGTTCACAATACTGCCGCATCGGTCAACTCCACCGGCGCATATGGCCTGCTGTCTCTCATCCGTGCGCTCTTCGCGCAGGCGCTCTAAGTGCTTTACTATGTCCTCGTAGGCGGCACGGCAGTTCTCCCAGATGCCTGAGCGGGCCAGTGCATCCATATTGGCAGCCGACATGCCAGCATTTTGAGCAGCCGCCTTCAGCATTTGACTCTCTGGACGGGCGTGGAGACCGTGTGGAGGCATGCCAGGCGACATGAGAGCCGCCGCGCCAGGATGATGGGCATTAATTTGCATAAAGGCCATGTGGTTAATGGGCGGAGGATTATAGCCGTTGGCCAACAGCGGCGACTTTTCCATACGATTTATATCTGCAACATCATACAAGCAACATCGAATATATATGTAAACACTCCTCCTTTCTTTTTACAATTTTAAGAGTTTCGACTTATTTGCAAGAGCTCGAAAAAAAAGTTCGAGCATCGTTTGGCTTCTGTTTATGTATACATACATTTCAGGGATGGGAGAGAACAGGCCAAATAAATATTATTTTGATGGAAAGAAATTACAAAATAATCTCGATCTCACTTGATCTGTTAAAGGACCAAGGATCCGAGTAAACACGAGGTGGGCCAAAGTGGAAAATTCGGTCAATTTCTAGCTAAACCTGGCTACTTTCACAGATCGACAGCCGTAAATCGTTCAAATATAATAGAGATATAGCTGTTTTTTGTCATCTTGATTTTTTACATTTCCGACCGATTGGAAGCTATTTTAGTGATCGGTTATCGGCTTGTGAGGGATATCTTATCTGTGAAAGCAATATGATATATGTACATAGTTGTCTGATGCTGATAAAATATTTGTAGACATGTTTGTATGGAAACAAGGAGACGTAGGAGTGGGACACACTGGCGGCAGGCGGACATGGCAATATCAACGCGACTGACACAAATTAAGAACATACAATATACGCTTAGCCAGCCGGCAGATTGGACTGAAGCAAAAAGACGGACTATGTCGAATTTCGTAAAAATAGTTTAATTAATTTAGTTGCAAAGACTTTATTTCTGCAGTGTATATTACATAGCTCATCACGTACACAATATTTACAGTGTAAATTAACTGCATAGATGGGAAACACAGAATAGTTTTGACGCTTAAAATGCTTAAATGCAATTAACTAACAAATACAGTTGCATTCGTTGGTCATATCTATGGGAATAGTGCAATATCACTCAAAAATCAACGCCCCATAATTCACTCAGTATTTCCCAGCTGGCTTGTAGGGATTGAATGACTTGGCAAACATCTATTTCGAGTTCTCCATAAAGAGGCGCCGACGGCGCATGGTTCTTAAGAAAAAGCATGAGATCTTTTTGATATATGTGTCTGATATTGTGCGTTGGTTCAGACACATTAATAAAATGGGGCGTGGTCGAACTTGTCAGATACTTCAGGAATTCATAGAGACTCAATATGTAAAAATCAATTAATTGTGCGCGCGTTACCTTAGAGGGCAAGTATCTCGAAGAACTTAAAATAATTACAATGCCTCCGCATACAGACATGAAACTCGAAAACACAATTCGAGCAGCAGCAGCAACAGTCATAAGTCGAAGTCCGAAGTCTCTTTGTAACTCTCTTAAATGCGATTTCCTGTACAAATCACAGTGGCGAGTCGGAACGTTTTCGATTTGATTGCTTGCCTTGGACAAATGGGCATTTATCTGAACTTGGAGCTGGGAACTGCCAACTGGCAACTGGCAACTGGCAACTGAGAGTTGGAAACGTGCAGAAAAGTTGTAGGTAAAACGAAACAATTGCGCATTGTGTATCTGTATCCGTTCGGCAAAGTTATAATCAAGGCATCCACAAATCACAATTTTTCTTCAGTTTTTTCTTGCGACTTTCAATTGGCTGCACGAGTAGTGAAAACGAGTAGTGAAACAGATCCCCAGAGCGAGTTGGTTGCGATCCAAATGATTTTATTACCATTTCAAGTGCGTTTGGCAATTGCCAATCGATTTGTTCGCTTGTGCTTGTGGATCGTGATTATGGCGCTGCCGACGGCCATAACAGATATTAAATTCGAACGCCCTGAAATTGGCTGGGAAAGCAACGACATATGCACGAGCAGCAACTAAATACAGATACTACTAAAGATAATGACTTTCTTTACTTACCACTAATATGGCCATTCTCATAGGCATAGTCACCGTTGTCCAGGCGATGCTTCTTCAGCTGCGGATGCTGTGTGAGATGCGAGGGCGGCAGCGATAGGCCAACAGGGCCACGTTTCGGCGGTCTACCCGGTCTGGAACTGCGGAATTGCAGAGAGTTACTGTTGGGTTGAAAGCAATGACAATTGGCTTGGTATCAGTATAAAGCAGCTGTAGCACACACCAGACGACGTGGAATATGAGAACAATAGCATTGCACTCACTGGGATAATGGTTGGCTGTATTGTGCTGCACGGTTATGTTCAAAATAGCTTGAGAGTTTCTAGGAGCACTAACAACTATTTGGTTTTATTATTAATATATAAATTCGTGTACGAGCCTGTGTGGCGTCGGACTTAGAAGCGTGAAGTCACCGGTTCAACTCTAGTTTGATATAGTTTCACTTGTTTCATTGCTACTGATTTGCTACTGAAATGCCCCCATTTTAATTATCTGCTATCAGAAACTAAATGATCTAGAAAAGAAAAAACTATTTCTAAGCGATTTTTACCAGCAAATGCTATTATTTGTTTCAAAAATATTTAAATAAGCCTTGTGCAAATACTTGACGTATGCAAGATTAGTTACCAAAAGCCATAAACAAGTTTGCACAGCAGGCACTCATGACAAACAAGTGATGCAGATAAAAAAACAAATATAAAACTGCGTCTGCCGCAAATACTCAGAAACTAGATGCAAATAGAGACTAAACGTGGAGTCAGATTCTCAACTATCTACAAAACACATGGGCGCAGCAGCAGCAGCAGCAGCAGCAGCAGACAACAACAATTAAACAATTACCCAAATTAAAAAAAAAAAAGCATTCCTACCTGATGTTTACCTGTGGCAAACAGCAGGGCAAATAAACTGAGGTAGCAATGTGGGCACAGATTGAACAATTTATAATTGTGCGTGGGCCCAGGTGCTCCCTGATAGAGTTGCACTCATACAGCGATTGCAAATATTTACAGTTATTTCAACAATAAATATCAATATTTGAATGTAAGATCCAGCTCGAGATTTAATTGTGCAGCATAATAACAAAGCACATACCGATTGTAGACTCGGCCACGCGGGTCATGTAAAGAAAGCCACCAACTACCGATGCGAGGCACTTATTAGCCACGCTTCTGGCTAATAAAAAATCAAAAGCCCAAACGTCATCAGCGAAAGTGTTTTTGGGCCCAAACGGATGCCGTACGCGTCACTGACGTGCAAAACATGCGTCCCATCTGGTTGTGTCAGTCAAGCTAATGAATTTATTAAAACTAGGAGAAAGAGACAGCTCGAGCAAACAACAACATCTCGAAGCAACACTCTGCTTGGACCTTGCAAACAGGGCCAACGATAAGCGGATGCTTCATACTAACTGCCATTGGAAAAGTTCTTTCGGGCAACTGTCTGCCGAGATTGAAAGTGCATACATTTGTCTTTTTACTTTTCGTTTTCCTTGAAATGTGTCATTTGTATACTCCGCGGATAAGATTGCACGGTTCGCAACGTTACAATACATGTATTGTGCTGTAAATAGGCAAAAATTCCAAAAAACAACTTTGCAGCTCAACCGACAAGCCGAAATTGGCTTTCTAGAGTGACAATGAAAAGACTTAAACCATGCCACATGATCTACCCACTCATTTTGAATCCATTTAAACTTAACTTAAACTAATTCATTTTTGTCTAACCTTTGCCTCATTTATTTTATCATATTATTTTTCCCCCCACATAGCTGAATATGCTAAAGTTCGTTGGCAATATTCTTGTTTTCCAAAACATTGTTATTTATAAGAGTTTATCGAATTAAGAATTGCAGCTATATTGAGTAAAAAAATATATTAAAATCTTCCAAAAACATCTCATACCCAAAATGTATTATATTTTTTTTAGAAAAAACGTTAAAGTCTGGCGCAAAAACTCATTCATAGCCCAAAGAATAACAGATTAAAACAAGCTACCAGCAAAATGTACAAAGCTATATCCATTTCCCATGTGTCTTATTACCCTTAAGAGGAGTATACATTTTTCTGTATTCCAAAATGATCAACTTACTCTAAAAATGTGAAAGATATACATTTGCTCGATCTTAACACTTTTTCTGGCACGAGTATATATTCCGAATTTCGAGTCCCCAGCTTCAATAGCGCGCTGTTCATACAGACACGCGGACTTATATACTCTATTCACTTTGTGAACAAATACGAAAAACTAGTATGAAAGCCGTCGGGTACAACCGACTGCACAATATTTCGTTCTCAGTGAACAGAATTGAATTCTCTTGACTATTTGGTAAGTGACTTTCAAGCTAGGAACTATTGATTATTGTAGCTGTGAGGGCGTGGTCCCGCCAGGAGGAGCACGATCGCTGATAGAATATGAGAGACATATATGGGATAAACGAGAATATATTGAAACTTTCTAGCTTTAAAAGCGTCGAAGGATTCTTAGTAATGTCAGCATATGAATATAATCGTGTTCACTTTGTAAGCCGGCACAAAGAGAAGTCATGTCCAGAGTGGAGTCATAAAGCAACTAAATTATTTCCAAAATATATTCCACACGATTGTATTTTTATATATATGTAATTTATCATAAAAAATCCCGAGAAATTAAAATTTGTTCACATAAAAACTCTGTTTTTGGGCAATTGTTCCCATTTGATATAATGAGCCTAATGAGACCCTAAGTGTGAAAGAAAACTGCATCTAGCTGCAGATACGAGCAGGGCTATCTCGAGTCGACTGATACAGATCAGGAAAGAGAAGCGTTATGTGCTGCCAGCTTGAGCTGAAGATAAAACAATTTTTGACTATGCACTTGACTGCGGTTTTAACCCAATTTAAGTGCAGCGCCTCACTTGAAATAAAACCTATATATATATATGTTTATATGTATATATGTGAAAACAAACGTCTAGTCAGGAAGAAACAACAAAAGCATGCTGTACACGATGCAAACAGGTTCGCAGTGGCTACTTATAACTTCAGCAATTTGCTCGGAGGGCGTTTAGCTGCCAGAGCGAACCAGTTTGCAGCTGTGTTTCGCCGAGTGTATTTCAATAATCAAGGGATAGCCGATCTGTTAAACATTGAATTGTGGCACTCGCCGTCGAACCGTTCGAGTCCTGGCTCGAACGGCTCGAAAAACTGCGCTAAATGCGCGACTTGGCAGGTTATTCGCATGAGACCAAAAACATTGCTGCAAACGGCAACTGCAATTGCAACTGCAACTGCATTTGCGACTGGGATTGCAATTGCAATTGCCTAAACTGCTGGGCGTTGCCAACATTTGTCAGAGCTTCCACGGGCAGAACAGCGAGTCGGTCAGAGATCTCACACTTCTTGTTGCAAGTGCATTTGTCGTTTTCAAATTGGCAAATCAATTAAATTTATTGCTGCGTTGCCACCTCACATTCGAGCGTTTGATTGCTGTGGAATCAATGGAACGTGGCCAGCTACCAATTAAGCGCCAGCGCAAATTTCCATATTTCAATTATGCAATGCTGGGGCTGCGGCTTTAATTGAATATGCGATTGAAATGGATTTTGCGGCTCCTATTGGTGTTTGACTTTGAACCAAGACTCTGGACTGGATTTCTCAGAAGAAGCCGTGGCCTTTTGAAGTCGACTCAAATTTCTCCAACGACAATAGCCCAAAGACAGTTCACGTTTAGCATTAGAATTTCCATGAAGTTCCTTACGCAACAATCAAGCTCAGTTTCAATGCCTGTCCAACTGGGAATTCATTGTAAATCGACATGCAAATGCACAAATGACATGCCATTCACATGTAGCTGTGCCTCCAAGAATGCATACGGAAAAGGGGACAGATACACAACACTAATTGTGGGCTCGAGCTCAGCGAATTGTGGCCAGTGGAGAATACAAAGTGCCGCATAAAAAAACAAATTGCACTAGTTGTGGTCTTATTTTTTTGCCAATTGCCAACATTCATAATATCACTGGCATGGAAATGCATTTGAATAAAATGATAGAAATTCAGCTACAGCTGCAGACACAAAAGCTTACAATTTTCCTTGGCAATAAGTCAACTATTAGTTTGCCAAATTAATCGAATCACTTATCATTTTCAGAGAGAGTCGAACTAGGGCCACCCAGGTTTTGCAGCCCCTTTTGTGGAGCACATATATATAAACAAAATACAGGCTGGTAGCTCTAATTAAGGATTTCGGCTGGCTATTTCTAGGCTTGCCTACAATTTTTTACAATTTTGTTTCTCTCACAGTCCAGCGAGTGCGCGTAGCTCGAGGCTAGTCGCTTTTCTTGTTGCCGTTGATGATTTTTGTTGACTTCAATTTTCAATTGGCGTGCTAATAACTCATTTAGTTCGCATACTGAATTACAAGCATGCTACGTCGTCGGGTGTCGTGTTTCTTACAAACTGCTCAGCTCGCTGCTATTCAGACTCAGACATTCACCGAGCCTCCGCCGTCCTCTGCCATGTACCCTGTCAGTTGAGTCGCCTCGCTTGCAAGTGCTCGCGATGCTAAGAGAATATTAGCCGCATTTTCCTTCTTTTTATTATTAAGTTTTTTTTTTCTGTGTTTTTGGTGGCGCTGTAATTATTTATTATAAAAATAAATTGATCTATTGTTGCTTCATTTATACTAACAACAATGTTGCTTTTGTTTTTGTTTTTGTTTTTTTGTTACACTCAATTAAGTCGCATTTGAGAAATGCAAATCGCAATCATCAACAACAGTAGACTGAAACTTACATCTCACAGACAGCGAAACGGGAAAATTTATATATTAAGATTTAATTCATAAACGTATTATTTGTATACCCTGTTCCCATGGGCGAAACTGGTATATTGAACTTGCAGAAACATCTGTAGCTGTAAGTCAGCAGAAAAAGTTTGAATATATATCTGATAGCATCTTTCATTTTATCAAAATCAAGAAATATCTAGTCCCAGGCCTAACGTATTAGCTTATCTAGGAAATTATATAAAGATAAAGATCAAAATATTGGAAGTTATTTAAGAATGAATTTCAGCAATGTTAAGCTGTAGGAAGAGTACGCTTTATTGGAGTTAGGGTATCTCCAAGTTGGGCTCTACATTTTGGTTTCTTTTCTAGCTTGTGAATTTCTTCTGAATTCGAAAGGTTGTATTTTGTAGGTGATTGGTTGGTTTTCACAATAAACCATAAATTATAGACCGGCAAATTTAAGAGATTTTCATATAAATTCATATATTACGTTAATTAGCTGTCACAATTAGTGTGCAGTCATTAGTAGTAAATATTTTCGCTAATTACACTTTTCAGCACACGTTAACAGTTATATATTAGGTTTTATATTGTCCTTTGCTTTGAGAAAGAACAATTTCTGTTTTTGTCTGGAAATGATGAAATCAATCTTTTGCCATTCCTTAAGCTTACATGGATGTAATATTGTCGATGCCAAGCAAATCTAATTTAGTCAAAAGGTGTGCCCATCAAACCGGATAAAGCACGTTGCATTGATCCCCAAGCAAATGTGGCCCCGCCTCAAAAGTCACTTTGTGGATGCCGCGCGACTCTAAACGGCGTTTTGGTCAATGCGGCGAGCAAGGAGACAGCTAACCGTCACATGAGATCAAATTCAATATCAATTTGCCGGAGCAGTACCCAGCGCATTGGCAAATCAATCGATTGAAACAACTGACAAACTGACTGACTGACTGATGGACTGATGGAGTGATGGACTCGCAACTGACGGACTGCCTGGCTGACTAAGGGAGTGTGAATAAATTTCCGGTCTCAATAGTCTTGGTGTGTTTCTAAGCAGGGCAGAAAAAATTAAAGAAAAATGTATTACAATAAAGCCTCGACAAAAAGGCAAACAAATATAATAAAAAGTATTGCAAAATAACAAAAACGGATGAGCTCAAGAGTATTTTAGAGTGAAAAATAAAGACATGTTCCAAAACTTTCTTTTTTTTAGCATTTTAACTAAACCACCGACTACTGCCATACTCTTTCTCAACTGGAACGACATCTGTTCACGTTATCCTTATTAACAAAAAAAAAAAAAAATGAAGAAAAAAAAGCACATTGACACGCTCTATTTGTTTAATTTGAAGGTCCTAACACTTCCGCCTGACGCGGACGCGGGCTCGGCCCATTTCCGCATTATGCAATTAATTTAATAACAAATTTTTTCGCTCTAAAAACTCTCAAGTGCACACAGAACGCACATCTCTTGTACGATTGATTTCGATTATTTCAACAGATTGCCATAGTTTTTTATTATACTTGTGTGTTTACCTCTCTGGCGGCTTGATCGATAGGCATCTGCAATTAAAAAGAGAAGAACAAGAGACAAGTGAAGTATCGTACTAATATAAAAAACAATTGTAAAACGTTGTTGTGTGTAAGCTTCGACAAAAAACAGAAGAAGAACAAAATAAACGGAAAGCAACCTAATAATAAAAAAAAAAAACTTTGGAATTATGTTTCATTTTATGTACACATGGCGGGCGAGCGGGTGTGAAAATGCACACGCCTCTGCCCTCGGCCCTCGGCCCAAGCCAGCGCAAGCAGCAACAACTACACTTTATAATTACCCTAGCTCACAGAAAATAAACGCAATGGGGTGCAACCTGCCCCGGCCCTGTGCTCCGGCCCCAGAACCAGACAGCCAGGCTCTATAAAACTGCCAACAGCCAACTGGCAACTGCCTTTAGCGGTTTATGGACTTGCAGCATTTTGGCTTTACCCTTTTTGGTCAGTTTGTGGACTCGGCTGGCTCGTTGTGCCTCTGTCAGCGCCCAATTCTTTAGTTGTTTCAATTTTACGCAGTTCTTTCGGGGCTAATAATAGGTTTAACCGCATTTTTAACTGTTCTTCAATTGGTTGAGCGCACTCTGGCCCGGGACTCGGGACACGGGACTCGGGACTCGGCCCTTGGCACTGGGCTCAGCGCATGTGCACTTTGGAGCACTGTTTCCATAATTAACTATATGGTTTTTCATTGCGATTCCCGTGGTTTCTGTCTCGGACAGGCAGAGAACACGGTGAAACCAAAAAACTGTCCAATTAAATGTGTTGTCTTATTTCTGACCGTTTTGATGGCAGTGCGAAACATATGAAAATGCATATTCATGCTTGAAAACTCAAGGTGGATGGCACCAGAAAACATACGTGATGGAAAAACTGTTGTCTAACTAAATAGGTAAAAGATAGAAATTTTGAAAAATTAGAGATTTGAAGAGTTTTATCCTTTAGCATTGAGTGTAGATCAATGTTATTCCTCGATAAATGTGCAATGTTTAGCCAAACGTTAAAAAATAGCCCCATACTTATTGCATAGGGCATGCACATGCTGGTAGTATCTGGGTTAAGGCAATGTTTGGTTGTTGCTGCTGTTGTTTATAATCGAACGGAAATGCTTTGACAAGGCACCGCACGCGTCGAATGTTTTATGTTTTCTGTTTTTTGCTGCAGCTACAACAAGAGAACAAGAGGACAAGAGTAGAAAACTGTTCGCAAACTATTGTTAGAATCGCTCACAAATTTACGCAACTGTGATGTGCGCTGTTAGTTAACAATTGGCTGCAAAGGTGCAACTAGGTGCAACTGCTGTCAGTTGGGCGTAGAGTTTCGATTGGGCGGAGGGCGATTGGGCGGGGCTGCGATACCGTTTGCATTGCGTATTTCCGCCAAATGTCATCAGAGTAAAGTTTCTTGATTAGTTGCGCGAGTCGGTGGCCAGAAGTCAATCGATATCGTTACTCCGATTCCAAAAACTATTTGCACAGCGAATGCGTTTCTCTATCCCCCAGCTAAGGAGTAGGCAGTTGTGTGAAGTGTATATGGTGAGGGGGACGTGAGGAGCGTGGGGAGGTGATTGTCTCACGCAACGGGAGGCGGAACTCGAACAGGAAATAGGCAAAATTTAACAATTTCGTATTCGCATTCGTACCTGGCAGTGGTGCAGTCTCTGTAGAGCACATCAAAGTCCTTACAGCTGAGCAGCTTGCAGCGATTGACGCCCGGCTGGATGGCGCCCAGGCCACGCAATATGCGCACCTGCTCCACATTGCACACGAGCGGCACAATGTCCAGTCGCTTCAGTTTAGTGTACACCGTGTGCAGTCCCCCGACCAGGTGCTTGAGGAAGAGCTCAAAAGCCTGCGGCAGGCACAGCATTGTCTCATTGCTGATTATAAAGGCGGCCACCTTCTGGCCGCGATACTCCACCAGCTTGCACTCATTGGCGCTGGGATCCGAGGTCGAGATGGGCGGCGGCGAGTTGTACGAACGAGGTGGCACATGATGATGCGCCGCGGCCATCAGCTCCAAGGGCGACGCGTGGTGCATCATCTGCAGCGAGTTGAGCAGACCCAGCGAGTGCGGCGGCAAGCCGTGCGGCATGCGTGGCGCCAGTCCCGTGCCCAGCGCTCCGGCGACATGCGGCGGCGGACTTAGCTGATGATGTTGCTGCTGCTGCTGCTGCTGCTGCTGTTGTTGTTGTTGCTGGGCCATTTGCGCCATCATCGAATGGTTCAGGGAGCTCACTGGGCTGACAGCGCTGCCATGCCGCGTGGGACTGCTGGCTGGCGAGCAGCTGGAGCCGCGTCCATTGCCCGTATGTGAGCTGCGTCCATTTGGCCGTTCGTCTCCGGCTCCGCGCGAGCTGTTGCTGCCGTCGCGGCAACCATTCTGTTGCTGTTGCTGATGTTGCTGCTGCTGCTGCTGTTGCTGCTGCTGCTGTTGTTGTTGTTGGGCTGCTGCTGCTGCGGCGGCCGCTGCTGCCGCCTGCTGTTGCTGCTGGTGATGCATCAGCATCGCCGTCGTGTTCATGTTGCCGCTGACCAGGAGCTTGTGTGCACTTATGTTGCAGTTGCCGTAGCTGCTTTGGTTGCTGTGATTGTTGTTAATTGCTGTTGTATTGTTGTTGTTCATCGACCGTTCATCGGGTTGTTGTTGCTCACTGAATTCACTTGTCACGGATTGGCTATTGACATTGACAGAATCCATGCTTCGTCATTGGCTAACAAATTTTTGTTTTGCGGTTTCTCTCTTTCAGTATTATTTTTGTTAAATAGCGCGTTAACCTGTCTTTGAGCTCACTAAAAAGAATCAACGCACGCGTGGTACATAATTAATGAACGTTTAATTCGTTTTTAATTATTTTTTGGAGTTTTGACGTTTTTCAAAACCTTAAAACTGTGTAGCTATTATAATTTTTATCTGATGACCATTCGAGATACAAATAAAATACGCATGTGTTCGTGTATATTAGCTTTTGCTGAAGTTCGCATTCAATTTGGACATCTTGATATTCTTGCTACTACGAAAGCGTACAATTAATGAATATGCGGTTTTTTATGTAAAAAATCCTAATAAACTATACAATTTGGTTGTTGAAAAGCAATTTAGAATCTGAATAATGTTCGAAATTATTGATGACCAAATTAATATGTATTTCAAAAGCACATAAGTTATCACAAAAACAAATAATATTTAAAACATTACAAATTATATCTTAAAATTTGATTTTCACAAGTTAGCAAAAAATAAATTTAGTAATTATTTTGTTGCAGTTTATTTGGCTGAGTCAAAGCAAATTTTTTGCACATATTTCATCCTGTTATCTGAAAACACATGCCACAAAATATGACCTTTTATGAGCTAATATTGAAATATAATATATTGTTTGTTTTTCCAAGTCAATGTCATTTATTTGCTCAGAGTTTGGCTTTAAGTCCTTCTGTCCTCGCCAGAAAATTACCTATTTAATCTTTTTTTAATTTAAAATTTTACGCACTTTTTATATTTGCAAAATACTTTTTAGTTTTAATTAACTTTTTTTATTACATTTACAATCCAACCGAATTTGAGATGCGTTTTCATAAATTTTCAATAAAATGATTTTATCATCTTTTCACAAATCAGAATGCAAATCAACACCGACTCAGCAAAACGCCAATTGGGCGAGGGAGAGCACGTAACCGTTACTCGTTACCGTACCGACGGCGCGTCACTGAGCTGTTGGGGCCATTTGCTGCCGCTGAGGCCACGAGCAGCACACGAGAGGACTACGACGACAACTGAGACTGCAAGAAATCAACGAAACGAATTGCATTCGAAAGGGAATCGTCAGTCACTCGCACAAACTCCCACACACAAAGACACATTAATTGGTAAAGCCGCTGTTACGCGATAGACAGAGAGAGAAAGCGAGAGCGAGCGAGCACACACACACGAATCGAATGTTATTTTTTTTATACACCCACACCATGTGGCGCTGGCGCTCCGTTATGTACCGAGGTACATTTTCGTCAACGATGTCGCGAGAGTTGAAAATGGAAATGCGCGCGCAAAACTTTTATTGCATTACCTTTGCTTACGAATGACAAATTCGTAATGAAAGGCGAGCCAAATGTGTTTCGTTTCGTTGCCAGTTTCCAGTGTTCGAACCAAGCCTCGGCGTCCGCAGCGCCAGCAGTAGTAGCTGCAGCCCCATCTACGTTACATATACATGTACGCAATCCGATGTATGTGTGCCTGTGTGTGTGTATGTGTGTGTATCTGCGATTGTGCAAAACCCGAAACGATATGTATACGAATGCGTTGCTGTTTGAATTGTACACCAATACAAACAAAAAGTGGGAGTGGTATACAATAGTTACCTCTGTCTGTGTATGTCTCTGAGGCTGTCTGGCTTTGTGCGCTTGTGTTAGCATCCCCGAAAACACAATGACAAACGTAATAAAATACAAACAAAAACAAACACAAATGAAATGAAACACAGAAGCAGAAAAGACAGAACGAGAACGATGGCTGAGACGGAAGAAAATTAGCAGCAGCACTCACACATATGCATATCTATATGTATACGTACATACATTGACGGCGCTCTCTCACTCATACTATACCGAAGAACAGCACTGACGCTGACGTTGCTGTCGCCGCCCTATACAATACGGTAACATTCGTTTTATTTATTTTTTCATTTCGTTTGTTGGCTTGGCGTTTTTTGATTGCGACGATTTCATTTCATTTGCGTTTCAATTTCATTTCGTTTCAGGCAACAGGGCGCATTCTCTTTCTCTCTCTCTCGTTTCTTCTTATTATGCTGCAAGCACCGCTCTCGCTTACACATCGCGCACATACAACGAACACACAGAGCAGGTGGCTTGCAACCAATAAACATGAGGGAGCGTGAGCGACACATTTACATATTTGCATTGTGTGTGTGTGGTTGAAGTGAGCGCTGCCCAGTAGCGCGCACTCACTCACTCCAATGGCCGACATCGCTTATATAAACAAATGACAATTGTTTTGCATTTCTGTTCGTTGGCTGTTTTTTTCTTTTCTTTCTGCCAGAGTAAATTAAAATAAATGCATTGCATTTGCAAAAAACTTCGTGTACTCCCGACGTTAAACTTCGATCTCGACTCCGACTTGGTGGCAGCAGCTTGTGCGCAGCTGCTTAGCGAACTCCTTTTGCTTTATTTTTGTTAGCTACACAGCTCATTTTCTTATTGGAAAAGCATTTTAATTTCAATTAAAAAAGTAAATGACAAAGTTTTTCGTCTCCCCCCACTGAACCTACACACTCAATTGCCATTACCCTATTCTTATTAAGCCCAACTTTTGGGTGTGCAAGCGAGACAGCTAATGCTGCTCGGGATGATGTCCATCTCATATATTCAATGTTTTTTATGCTATTTGTGGGTTTGTCAACCGTTTCCCTTTTCGTTTCTCATTCGTTTCACTTTTTCCATTTCGTCTTCGTCGTCGCATTTATATTTCTTGCAATTTTTTGCTTCGATTCTGAACAGTTCGGCAACAGTCTGCCGCCATCCTGCTTACACTCGTCTGCGCTTTAAACTTGCACTGTGTGCGAGTGTAGAGCTAGCAGGAGTTGGAGCCCTGAAGTACGAATGTTAGACTTTTGGGGCTGGCCTGGGGCGCTTATACTTATAATAAAATACCAAATACTTGTCGTTGTCGCACCTTTTTGGCATCTTTTGATATTTACATATACATATGTATTCTGTATGTATGTAGTTATGTACATACACACGCATATGTATATGTACATATGTACAACGTATACATATAATATAAAATGCATGTATATGTACGACTGTATTTGTGTACACAGTACATGTGTGTATGTTTGGCGTTAATGCGGTGGGTTCTCTTCTCTTTTATTCTATTATTTGTTCCCCGTGGCTGCCGATGGCGATTCTTTCTGTTATGTGTTTGTGTATCTTATTCAATTTCAGTTGGCACCACCAATCGGAAATCGTTCTCTTCTCATTGCTGTGTTTTTGAGAAATTTTTTATCTCACATTGAAGTATGTTTATATATACATGCGAATGTATGTGCATATATACATTCCTGAGTGTATGTAGAGACACAGATGTGCTTATGTATTTGTACAAATACAAAGTGTACGTGTGTACATATATAAATAAAAATCCATGCTCAAAATAATAATACGTACCTTTGCTTTTCTTTAAGCTTAAACATTTAATTAAAACGATTATGGAAAACATTTTTTTTCTATTAAAATCATGTTTGTATACTAATTCCGTCAAAAACCAAACACACACAAAAACATGGTTAAGACCAAAACGAAATATTCAGTTTCAATTAAATTCTGAAATATTAATTAAAATAGGTTGAGGAACAAATAAATATATATGTACATATATATAATTAAAGTAAATTTATCTTAAGCATACTTTAATAATATCTACCATTATTCGCCATTGTTTTAATAGTTTTTAGATTCTTGCTTCTATTGGGTCTCTCCATAAAAAACATAGCTGGGCATTTTTTAATCAAATTTTAACGTCTTCGCGCTAGTATAAACCAAAATTAACTTAAGGCGGGTTAATGACTTGGCCAATTCAGCAGGGTCACATTTTTGTCTCGAAATCGAATCTTTCCTAAGATCTTTTTCCTGCCGATAGGTGCTTATCACCGAAAACTGTAATCATAGGTCAGCATCGTAATCTCAGTAACATTTCATAGAGCTTACGTATCCCTGATGACGATTGAAAACGAGTAAATGAGGGTATAAAGATATTATGCAAAATTATGTTATCAGCATCTAAATCGAGGAACCTTAACATCTGATGTCTATGATATCTGTAATCGTATTTAATCTTCGGGAAACCAGAGCAGATAGTTTTTAAAGAGTACAAGCAAAACCTTGGCCTGATTATGGTTGCAAGCCATTTTTAATTGGCCTGTCACACTTTGACTGACATGTTTTCCATTGCCCCACCAAAATGACTGACTAGGATACACCCTGTACTAAGCGCAACGCGCATTCAAAATTCCTTCTATGCAAACACAAAACCACACAAACAGGACGAACACCGCAAGCTGCCCACCTAATGCAATAGCTCAATGCCACACATTGTGAAATGCATTCCTAAATAATGTTTGTGTTTATATTCCGATCGATTATGTATGCTCTAGGGAATACCTAGTGCTCCCACATGTGTGAATACACCAAAGCACGAGGCCTTTAAAAATGAAAAATGAGAATTTGTCCGAGATATGAAATATTATAGATCTCTGGTTACCTTTCGAAAATAGCTCTTACTGCTTGGGCTGTGGATTGATCAATCAGTCAGTCAGTCAGTCAGTTAGTCAGTCAGTCAAGACGAACAGTTCTTTATGTACACACCAGCAGGTATTACCAGGCTTTGCCCAAGGCAATTATACTACTTAAAAATTTAAGTCGTTTAATTTCTACTTGTTTCCTGCCCGAGGAAAATTGAGATCTGCAAATAAAGCTTACAGCCAAATATTACTTGTAGAAAAATATATCGAAAGACGTTTTCTCAAAACTGACCTAAAAACTACAAAGAACCAGTGACTCCCATTTTTCACCCAGGAGAGGTGGATTTTACAAAAAGTGTGAAAAACGTCAGAAAACAAAATATTTCATCCAACGATTTTATAATAATTGCTTTTGAAATATCCCTAAAGCGTGCACATACATTATCTAAGGTAATAAAAAATCGATAAATCATGCAGATCCACGGACCTGAAGTCAAAAAGACGGGTACAGGGTATAAAAACGTCATGATTTCCAACTTTTTGCTTCTTTTTTTAAAACATGCATTTAAAATAAATTATTTAAAAGGCAATACAATTTTTATTAAAAAATACTGCATTGTTGATGAATCAAAATTTGAATTGACAATAAAAAAAGATTTGTGACATTTGCTAACAGATACAGAGTAGACCGAGCTAGTCGAGATTTGATGATGCCTATCCCCGAGCTGGCAGTTTCCTGAATTCCTATTACTCTTGTTAGACACTAACCCCTTAAAAACGATTTGAAAATTTGACGGATTAACTTATATAAGGTTATGTAGACGCGGTTCACAGGCGTGAATCATCCGTAGAAACACTAATTGATTTCTCCTCTATCAGGGAAGACTCTATTGAAGGGGTTTGAACTGTAGTCTTGCTGGCTGTGCCAGGACAAGGGGCTTCCATTATGTATTTGCGAGTAATTACTGCGGGCTTACTCAGGCGGACCAAAAAGGATGCTGTCAATTTCTCCGTGAGGTTCATGGAACAATATTAAGTATGACGTCTAATGAATCAGTGGGTGTTGTCCGTAGAGTATCGGCGTGTCACAAAGATAGAAGTCCTTTACGTGATAGCCGGCCAGCATACTGAGTCATTGTTCGAATTGCCAGAAATCAATTTAATTTCAGTCCTATGAATTTTTCGATCTGCCGTACTTCCAATTCCAAATAAGAAGCTTATAGAGAAAACTAATTTTTTATGAAAGAACACTTTGGAAGTAGAGGTTCCAGCGTGGCGAGAGGGAGCTGTGATTATGTTGTCTATTTGTGGGGAATAATACCATTCATTCATTGATCATCTGATGTCAGATTGGACATCAACAGGAACTCGAAGCTATTCCGCCAGTAGGTGTATGTAAGAGGAAATCGATTTGTCAGTTGCAGTCCATGTGTTGTCCGGTTTTCGTAAATGTTCAAGGGATTCGGGGAATTTTGATAGCTTATTTCTTAGCCTGGGGGAGTAGTTTCTTGTCTGATGCCACGTTGCATTCATGAGACTTCCTGAGGTAATAGTCATCGCTCAGAAACCTTGTCCACAAACCAGAAACCTTTCCTCCGTATTCCCAAGATTACTGGAGGTCCTCCTCCAGTGTCGACTACACCCTGGTTTAGGCGGATTAGGAATGCAGCTTCTTCTTTGGCACATCTTCTTTGCTTTTCCATCCGTGGTAACCAATAGCTTCTCCTTGGTTAGACGTCACTCATCCACTCATAATCGTACTTTGGCCAGCCTAAGCTGGTATTGTACGATGAGTTTGTCATTGCTGTAGAATATTTAAGGGGCATCAGGAGAGCTATTGAATTGTATTGTATTTATGGCCTCTTAAAAAAGAAAACACTGCAACAAAAAAAGTACACTGTATTTATTATTTATGTGCTACAGCAAGATTTCAACTTTTAAATGCGCGCCAATAACACACAACTTAAAGCTTGTCGCTATAAGACCCACTTGTCTTTTGATTTTAAACCAATATGGTAACCCCAATAAATTAACAGACTGCTATAGATGTAAAATACCTTAATTTGCAGTATTCGTTTGAAGGAATTTCCAACCTTGTTGTTTTAAACAATGTTTTTCCTTTAACAGTTGCACCAATTTAACAATTTTAAACATTTCCACATTTAATTTGAAGTGTAAAAAGTGTATAATAAATATTGAAAATAAAACTAACATCTACTATATTCAATCGAATAAATAATAGTACTTACTGGCTCCAACTTGAATTTCATTTTATTTTTGCATCCACTTTGCAGATTCATAATTTGAATAAAAAATCTATTAGCGATTTTGTACATATACCGATAATTTGTCGCCATCACCTCTGAAAATATCGTAAGCATCGATATAACATCGATATAAACATTCATTCTTTCATTCATTTCATAAGCACGCTGATGCTGTCTGTCGGGTCAAAATTTTAGGACAAATATAATAAATTGATAATATGCTTCAATAATATTGTTTTTTGGCTCGTGCAATAGACAACATAGAGCAGCAATATTAAATATTCCCAATACTGTGACGGAAATACGAAATTGACTGCAAAGAAGGGGTAAAGGCCACGAAAATTTCTCATCGTACACGGAACGGAACGCACGAAGTTGTTGCTAGTGCAAAACAAAGAAGAGAAAATAAAAAAAGCGTATAAACATTTAACGTAGGCCAAAAGGTTGCCCCCGTATTTGTTGTTGCGGATGGACGTCATAGAAATAAGCGATAGCGAACGCGAGGAAACTTCTTCAACCTCCGACATGGAAGTGGAGCTGCCAGAAGCGCCTGATGCGGAGCAGATTGTGCCCAAAGACGCGACAACGTAAGTATTAACCAGCTTCTACTTATATATATATATGTATGTGCGTACGTTTGTATATGTATGTGTATATGTGTATGTATATGTATATGTAGATGTTTGTGTCCCTAGCGAATGTTAACAAGTCGCTTTGACAACAAAAACAATTGTGTATGGGAAATATACGATTGCAAATGTGTATGTGAATTATATTATTATTTTGAACTCTGCTGGCCGTAAATTTATATAATCGATCGACGCCTCTGCATTCGAATACACGTTTCGCAAAGTGAAAAGAGTTTATGCGTTTTATGCAGGCCACCATTGAAGCTAGAGACTGGAAACGTGGAATAAACATTCATACATATATTCGTGTGAATCATTGTTGACATTTTTCGGCCACGCCTATTATTTCTCACTATTTTTGTTACCATCTTTAGCAGATAGCCTAATAATTCCCTCTAGAGTGAAGCAAAAAATAGTTTTTCTCAGTACCAGAGTTTAACAGGTAGAGCTCTGAAATTTGTCGCAGCCTCCGCTAAAATCGATATTTCCATGAATTCTGATTAAAGGCACTAATTAAAATCACCCCTCGACTATTTACTAAGAATTGCGTCGTCGTTGTCATCCAATTGCAGCTATTTTGTCTTTACCTGTTTTTGCCTGGTATGGTCACGGGCAGAAACCCAAGCCGAAGTCTGACGTAGACGCCCTACTGCATATGCCTGCATTCTCCTCTCCTCTCCCCACTTCGCCTGCGATATATATGTATATTCTGTATGCTGGCTGCCCAATTCAATTAATTCTTTCCACAAACTCGTTCTTGCTTGCGTGTGTGTGGGTGTGTGTGTGAGTTGTGTGCGTCAGGCCTTAGTTTATTGGAAAGTCAGTGCAAAAACAGTAATATTTGTTATCTGTGTTCCCACATACATGCATATAAATATCTATTTGCATGTGTATGTTCAATGTCTTCAGTTGCAATAGGTCTGAATAACACACCTCAAATTTCAAGTTTTGGCTGAAAATCGAGCCAAACGACTCACAATAATAATCAACATTTATTTTTTTTCTTTTACTTTATTTGTGCCTGTTATCACTTGATTGTATTTATTTACGTTTTTGTGAAAATACACAAAAGTGCACCTCTCAGATAGCGCCACTTGTGGCTTACCCCAAAGTATCGACATTTTTTTAAGTCGGAATAGACAACATCTCTTATGATATCTGTTTATCCCTTGAAAACTATTACGCCAACACATTGCCACGATTAAGCTATAGCTTTGTGTACAGAGTACTGTGCAATTGGTAGCACCCGACTGCAATGTATTTACCTGTTTATTATTTGTATTTGTTTTGATTTATAAAAACTATTTATAAGTGGTCAAGATTAAATGCGATAGTCATTCTATTCGTAACCTTGCTCGGTTAAATCAATTTAACCAAAATATTTATTTGCTTTGTATGCCATATTGTAGTTAAACTAATTGGGAAACCAGAAGAAAATCTATCTTCGACTCACTAATTTGCTTACTCACTCATTTGGCTTATAAATGCTTTTAAACCAAAAAGCTTTGCTTCGGGCCAATTGTTCCTGCAGGAGCCATATTATAAAGTAATACGATTTAATAAGGGCTTGCAGATTTGTTGGGAGAATTATGAATCTTACAGTTGCGGGGTTTGGTTGACGTATATTGCGAAATATGATAAATAGTTGATATATAAAAAAGTATTTGATCAATCGATTCCATAAAAACTATATGATATGAGGGTCCGATCCGGCCAATTTCAGATATTTTTCCTTTAACCTCATTTAAAGGATTAAAAACAAGACTTACCTTTTATTTGCATGTTCAGCATTCCACTGAGCTATTCCTAGTAAAGCCCATGTTCAAACTTCTTTTATTAAATCAGAGATTTTCCTTTGTAAAATTGACATATGAAATGATTCATCACGACTAATAATAAGAAAGTTATCTTGTTACCTTTTTCCTAAAAGTTCCTTTTATTTTTATCAATGGGCGTCTGCTTCAAATGTTGCTCTTTACTTATGAAAATACATATTATAGACTTTAACTATTCGCCGGACGAATAGGCGGACTCTATTGAAGCTAAAGAATCTGATTTCAGGATGTATGTAGGACGCATACCCGCGGCGAATTGTCCTAAAAATGATTTCTCGGGCTAAAACGCAAATCTATTTCTTCCACAATAATAAAAAGTAGTCAATCGATTTTTACTGATAATAAACCTCAATGACTTACCATGACAACAAAGTATAATGGGTATTTTTCACAGATTGAAAGACTTTGCTTTGCATGCAAATCTTAAATGTCTCTATCCTCATAATCACAAGCTTTAAATGAGTACAATTTTTCGGTATCAGTGCAACATTCTTGCTTGTGGTTTTGGAGGGTTCCATATTTAATTTGTGACCTCCCCTTTTGGTTATCACGTTTGTGGTAAATTCAAAACAATTCGTTTATAAAAACAATTTGAGTGGCAACTTATAGTTTGAGTAAAATTATAAATATAATAATAAAATATGTATCTTAAAAATGAAAATAGTTTAACAAATAAGATGGTAATTTCGGACCAAGTATTCTTAAGGGAACCAAATGTATGGTCTTAGAAGATTTAAGTGACCCAACTAATTCAAAATCTTTGCCAAATGATGGCAGACTGTAAAAAAAAAACGCAACCATTTAATTCAGTCTGATCGGCCCAGCACAATTATATTACCTTCCCAATGTCAAGAACTATAGCAGCTGATATAAGAAACATAATTTTAATGTTAATTAGTACAAAATTACATTCAACTACAGCAGGACAAGCGAAGGGCGAATAATTGAGCAATTCTTTGTTTTTTATGAGTTCTACAAAACACAAAGAGGAAGGGTTCAAACTATTTTTGGCTAATAGTCTCTTGTGTTCAGAATGCTTCTAATTACTCTTCTTTGCACACTCACAAAGACAAACGCGGCAGAAAAAGCTTTTTATACCCTTTTAACGGGTATTCAACTTGTGTGACAAAATGTGTAACAGAAGTCTCCCATAAAGTCTATATGTACATATATGTCTGACGGCCTGTTTAAAAGCTAGTTTTACAATATCTTCCATAGACCTGTCATTGGATGACTTCGGATTCGGTTGCAGCGGACCACTATATCATATTATGTTAAGTTTAACCAAATATCTTGACCAGACTCAGTTAAATTACAAGCTTCAGTTTTCTCATAACACACTATTTGATATGATATGACTGATATATGAGCACTTCTTTCCCTTGCGTCATGAGGGTATTTACCCTTCGGCGTGCTGCAGATATACGTTCTCTCCGTGTTCGATATTCATTCCCAAGCTCACTCTCAATTCGTGTGTATTAGCTCGATGCATTTGGGTGCATTCGCAGTGCGTTTCTGTCAGCGCTGTGCATATCTTCGTCGTGGCAAAGTCGGATCGTTGTTCTGTTCATAGAATATTTAAATATGTTTGCGAACGAACTTAAATAATCGCCCTGATAACGTGTTGTTGAACGCTCTGCTGTCACGTTTGGTTTTGAGTTTAATGTCGCATACTAAAAGCAAAATTTTAGTTTTAATTACTTATACAAAAAAGCCAATAGTTTCTTACGTGAAAGTGTGTCAAACAGCAGTCAGCATCAACGTGCAAAGGGGAACACGAATCTATAAAGACTAGAGACTAGAGCAACCGTCGATAGAACTTTTAGTTTTTTAAAAGGCAGCTGCCAAAAAAATAAATAAAAATAAAAATTGGCGCAAGATCGAAGAAAGTCAAAAATGTTATAGTAAGTTTCTTTTTATTTTTACACGCTACTCTTTAATTGCAGTTTTTTTTTTATATATATATACATTATAGGTTATATATATATATATATATATATACACCGAGTATCTATTTCCATGCGTGTGTATGCACTAGCTCGAAGGCCGAGCCCATGTAGTCATTATGTGTCATCCACCTCTTAGTTTGCTCTTCTATACAGTTCCTTTCACTTGTTTGTATACCCTTATTCAATGTGCTATACCTTTGTCATGAAATGTGTAACGCATAGAAGGAGATACATCCGACCCTATAAGATGTATCTGTTCCTGATCAGTATCAACAAGCACAATGTCCGTCTGTTTCTATGCAAACAAGGCTCTTTATTCTAAAGTTATCCTCATGAAACTTTTCATATGTCCGTTTTTCTATTGCAGGCAATACATATATCGGAATCGGACAAATTCGGCCACTATATAGGATGTTTGGTACAAAATTGAGTTCTTCTTAAATGCAATATGCTTTCTACATGTCAGACAAATCATAGCACCTTTAGACTTCTATCTCATATAGTTGCTAAGGGAACACAGTTCTTTTCGCAACCCTCAGTCATATTTCTCCAAGGGTATTTATCTCCGTCGTGCAGAGGATTCTTTCTGTCTGCAGGCCGAGAAAGAAACCCAATTGCATTCTCTTAACGTAGTTCGATCTTGCCTTTAAAGTATTATTGTCCAATCATCAATTGAAGCATTTAGGTCAAAAATTATGTAAAAAGCTTCTGTTGACACAGCAGCTGCACTCGAGACTTTGAGGCATTTCGAATATTGCACTCTTGGTTTTTGGGGTGTGTCATTTGTAACCGGGTTAAATACAGCTCTATGCCGTTCGCGATGTACTGTGCGATAATAAATGCCAAGACGCATCTTAGAAAATTTGCATTGGTTTGTGCTGAAAATGTTTGAATGAAACCTTCTGGCTTATCATGCAATCGGCTTCAAAATCGCTTTCAACGTTCTTTGAAGACGTGTCCATACTTATTGCACATTATAGTTCTTTACTTTTGTGAATGCATACTAAAAAGAAGTTTTTCGAAATGTTTCCTACAACAAAAGAAGCTTTCGCGAACTTCTCACAATTTTATTGAATAGCTTATAGCCCTTATCACGCTGCATTTTACACAGCACAAAATGCTAGATTTAAGAGAAGTTAAATAGGAATGCACGCAAAACAGGATCAAAAAAGATAGAAAGATACAAAAGAAAGAAAGATACTGCTAAATTGATGATAATTTCTCACTATTGGGAGGAATGTCCTGTGTTAACTGACCCATTTTTAATTTGCTTGCTATGCTTGCAGTATTGCGGAAGAGAAAAAAAAACTGGGAAACGACCAATACAAGGCACAGAATTATCAGAATGCACTCAAACTTTACTCAGATGCCATCTCGCTGTGTCCGGACTCTGCTGCCTACTACGGCAACCGGTCCGCCTGCTACATGATGTTGCTCAACTACAACAGCGCCCTGACGGATGCCCGACACGCCATTCGCCTCGATCCGAGTTTCGAGAAGGCGTATGTGCGCGTAGCCAAATGCTGTTTGGCGCTGGGCGACATAATTGGCACCGAGCAGGCCGTGAAGACGGTTGCCGAGCTGGAACCGCAGAGCACGGCTCTGAGCAGCGAGCAGCATGCTGTACAGAAACTGCGCCAACTGGAAACTACAATACAGGCCAATTACGACACACAAGCCTATCGTAATGTAGTCTTCTACTTGGACAGTGCGCTCAAACTGGCACCCGCCTGCCTCCGGTGAGTATAAGGGTCCCAAACGTGAAGCTGCCCAAAATGTTTATATTGGAGTCAACTGATAATTCCATTGGTAGATATCGCTTGCTTAAGGCCGAGTGTTTAGCATATTTGGGACGATGCGATGAGGCCCTGGACATCGCCGTCGGAGTCATGAAACTGGACAGCACTTCCGCTGATGCCATTTATGTGCGTGGGCTTTGCTTGTATTACACGGATAATCTAGAAAAGGGCATTCTGCACTTCGAACGCGCCTTGCAGCTGGATCCCGATCATCAGAAGTCCAAGCGCATGCGCAGCAAGTGCAAGCAGCTGAAGGAGATGAAGGAAAATGGCAACATGCTTTTTAAATCGGGACGCTATCGCGAGGCGCATGTCGTCTATACGGATGCGCTTAAAATCGACGAGCACAACAAGGATATCAATTCAAAGCTACTCTACAATCGTGCGCTCGTCAATACACGCATTGGCGCACTACGCGAAGCCGTCGTCGACTGCAATCGCGTGCTTGAGCTCAATTCTCAGTATCTAAAGGCGCTATTGCTTCGCGCCCGCTGTCACAACGATCTCGAAAAGTATGAGGAAGCGGTAGCCGACTATGAAACGGCTCTACAATTGGAGAAGACGCCAGAGGTTAAGCGATTACTGCGGGATGCGAAGTTTGCTCTGAAGAAGTCCAAGCGTAAGGATTACTACAAGATACTGGGCGTTGCGCGCAATGCCTCTGAGGATGAGATTAAGAAGGCATATCGCAAGAAGGCTTTGGTCCATCATCCAGACAGGCATGCTGGCAGCAGTGCAGCAGAGCGTAAGGACGAGGAGCTCAAGTTTAAGGAAGTTGGCGAAGCCTACGCAATTCTATCGGATGTTCGCAAGAAAGCCCGTTACGACAATGGACACGACATTGAAGAGCAAGAGCAAGGCAAGTGCCACTAACATTTTAGGCGTGTTACTCTTTTTATAAACTAAACTTACCCCATTTACAGCCGACTTCGATCCGAATCAAATGTTTCGTTCGTTCTTCCAATTCAGCGGCGGTCGAAATGCATCCTTCAACTTTGAGTATTAAACCACCGCAGGATAGGCAGACACAGTCTTGCCAGCCACATCATGCACAAATCGGAGTCTTTGCATTTTACACACTTACTTTAATTTGTCCCAACGCAAAACACTTAAAACCCGACATCAGCCAGTTTCAATATTTCTGGGGTTTTTCTTCTTTTTTTTTTGTTAGGCGTTTCGCTTTCTCTTTTGGCATGCAAAACATAATTAAAAGATAATAAATTGTATAATACTAAAACTCTTGGTTTTCAGTCTAGGCTTTTTGAGTAAGCAGTTTTATAACAATTAATTGATTATTAAGTACCAAAAGCCTTTGCCTTCTATGTAACCAATTAAATTTGTTTTAAGCAGCCAAATATGTGTTGTTGTTTTTAAATTGAGTGCAATGTTCTAAAAAAGCCTAATCATTGTGTCGAATAAGTTTAACTTGAGTTGTATTGGTAGACCCCGAAGTAAAGCAAAATAGCTTAATCCGAAATATAAATTGTTATTTCTTACAAATGTTAGCTTCGAATATGCTATAAAATTCATCTATTGTCTCGATGTTTGCTTGAATGGACGTGCTCAAATTTGTAAAATGTATACATATTGAAACTCTTAGTCATGCCGAAAGATTTAAAATGATATCGTTAAGCCTACAAAACATTAAATTGTCAAATCGACAACAAAAAAAAGAAACATTTTATGTGCTTTATTTCAAACATAGTTGCTCTCCTGTTTTCTCCAATACATTTTGATTCTTTCGAAGAATGGACAGGTGCAAAATAGATTGGATTAAAAAGTTGTAGCTGAATATTGATACCAATTGATACCGATGTTCTTGCCAGTTCGTCTGATCATCAGTTGCCATCGAAGTCCCTCGGACCCATAGGAGGTAAATTGCTTGGCCATCTTCTAAAGGGATTTGCGGCAGTTGTTAACAAATAACAAGTTGGACGATTGAAGAGACATAAATGCGGATGGAAAGTGTCACTGGAATTGCAGTCGGTTCCATTATTCTCTGGAAGGGATAAACGTGTGGAATGGGGTAGCAGAATCATCTCGCGGGATGCCACAGTTGGTAGCTGTGTCAAAAATGGCAACAAAAAAAAACAACAATATTGCCAGATTTGGATGACCAATTGATCTAGTGGTGAAACCATAAAAAAAAGCCAAACCTTTTGACAATCTGTGGAGTTTTGACCGAGTTGTGGAGATGGGAAATTTTGACCTATGTCTATATAGGATATTTGAGGGTAGCAATTTCACATAAATTTTGTCTAAACGATTTTGTCTATATAGGATATTAACGGGCATACCCCGGCCTTGCCCGTGGCACATTTAAAATAAATTCTCTCAAATATCTTTGAAAATGAGTTTTAATCCGGGGACGGTAAACAGAAAACTTTCATACAACCGTTTTCCGCCAATTTAACACTGTTGCAGGTGAAATTTCCCAAAGCGCTGAAACTCGTATTTAGTAAGCTCTTATGTAGAGCTTTGAAAATAAGTTTGAAGCAAATCGGGTAAAACTTAAAACTTCACCAAAAATATCTTTGAATTGCACTCTTCGCCGAGGAAGCTTGGGTTCTGCGAAAAGTGTGAAGCACGTCTCAAATGATTTTTTTCAAATTATATAGATCCTTGGAAATAAATATTCACCCACCAAATCCAACTTACCACGTTTTGGCAAACAGTAGCGAGCGCCGACTGGAAACTATTTTAAACTAAGCTAAGATGCTAAGGTAGAGCATCAATATACCTTTACCAAAAAAACCTTCTTATGCATATTACAAACATGTGCACAAAGCCATTTAAAAGAGTGTACTTCGTATCACGACATTTATGGAAACCATCTGAAATCACAAAATTGAAAAAGTCCGTGTAAAAACATTTGACATACATATAAATATTTATTTCTTTTGCCAGGCCTTAAAAGTGCAGTTCATAAGGGCGAACAGACAGACTGCCTGACGTTGTACACACGTAGAAGCGTCGTAGCTGGGTGGGACCAAAGACAATATAAATAATAAAAATAATATAGTATTTATATTGTCTTTTAAATAATATAGTATTTATATTATTCTTGGTGGAACCGAAGACAATATAAACACTAAGATGAGTAACGCCATACAACAAAATGCTACTATGCAGCTTGATTTTCTGTAAACTAAGAACAAAAAGGAAATCAGTATCATTGCGCTCTTACAACTGAAAGAGCGAAAAAGCTAATAATATTATATAATGTACTCTCAGCTTCGGCTCTATGAGGGCCGAACGAATCGACGCAGAGCACCATTGACCAGCCTTGCTGAAGGCAGGCTGGCAAGTCACTTCGTTGCTCGTGGCAGCATCAACAAGCCGCAACCTCGGCGTCGTTCGTCTGGCTTTTAAAGAGCGAAGAGCCAGTCGGCTGGCATGTCGTTTGAAGTGGGAAAAGCCAGATGAGAAGCCAGGCTAGAAATTTTGCGTCGCAGTCAAATGTATGGGCGTTTCTTATCTTAGTTATTATATTGTCTTTGGCGGAACCTTCTGAGCAAAACTGTGCTTAGTTTTATAACAGCTTAGATCAGTCGAAAAAGTCTTTTTGATTGGGCTGATGACTCCAATACTGGAACTCCAAAGCAGGGACTTGAACTCAGTTAATTTCTCAGCAACGTTCTTACTCATTTACTTTGTAAACAGAGTTAAAGAAGTTCCCAAAACAAGCTCAAATCTGTTGAAAAACAGCTGACGATTACTTAAAAGTATGGACAAAGGCTCGACCAGACCAATATGTGCAGGGTTCGTGCAAAGTTTAGTCTTTTCTATAATTTATATGACTAATTTGTGGATTTTGGTTTTTTTTTGTTTTATAAATAAATTTAATGTTTTTCATCATTTCAGTTTTTTCTTGCTTTGTATATATAGGTCTACTTAAACATTATGCAAACATCATTAGGGCCTAGTGAACATGCACGCATAATAATGTACAATAATATTACAATATTTATTTATAATAGTGTATTTTGTGTTTTTGTTGGTTTGGTTTTTTTTTTAACAAACTAGTGACGACGATCTGCATAGCTTTAGTTATACAAATTTATTCATTCACACACACTCTTCATCTGTTTTGTTTTGTTTTGTTACATATCTTATGTTGGTTGGTTTCAGTTGCTGTATTGGTTGGTGTTTGTAAGTTAACGACCAGACTTAAATGACTACAAAAACTTTTTAGTTTTAAAATAAGGTACATTGATATATAACACTACTAACTATAAAACATATAGATCTGTACATGTTGGTATTTATATATATATATATATACATATGCATTTTCCCCAAGTGCGTTGATTATCCTTGAAACCCAACAGACGAGTTTTTGGATTTACAAAATTGCTAACTATCAGCACTTAACCAGCAACTGGCTTTGTCTTTCGTAATTTTACGCCCAACGTGGGCTCTTTTATAAAGTTCTTCTCCGTCTCTTAACTGCGCCTACATGTATTGGGCCTACCATTAAAATAAAAAGCCCACTGGACATGGTCGGATCGTTGCTAAGAGGCCCAACATGGCAAATGCTTTTTGAGTTTCCCCCTATGATATCGTCGTAGGTGCTGTATATACACTTACTACACGTGTTTATGTATTTTATAAGTAATACTGAGATTCTGTCGGTTAGTTGTGGTGCTATTGTTAGTTTTGCTTTTCTAGCCAGTTGGAAACCGTTTCAACGGCTCGGAAGTGAACATCTTGTTTTGGTTACGTTGCTTCCAATCCGATTGCTTTCCATACCAGGCCATATATCCTGTTCATGTTCATGTTCATGTTCATCCGCTTTCTGGTTCTAAGTAACGCTGCCCCATGTGCTTTGTACAGATGAGCCCGTAGGCCCTGTTGAACTAAAAGTAAATTGTACTGTTTGTTTGTTTGTTTTGTTTTTGTGGTTAGTTTTCTTGGCTATTTCACAGTGAAATTTCATTTTGTCTATTTGCCATGTTCCAAGCCATTTCCAATCCCGATGCCATTCCATTCTCTGATGTAATACCCTTGCCCGTACCTAAACCTACTCGTCCCACGCTCGTCCACTTCCTTGGACGTCGCTGTCACTTGGGCTGGATGCACGCCGTTCGTTCCAGCTCGTTGAACTGCCCAAAGAAGAGCACCTCGCTGATTAGTTTCTCGGCGATGATGCGTTGTGTACGGTCCATTGTGCGCAGCTTCATGGACACATTGGAGCCAACAAAATCGCAATCGTCCCGGCTGAGACTCTCTGCGTATAGAGCAGCGGCTGCCGCCGCCGCGGAGCTGGCGTCCTGTGCCGAAACGCTGCTCTTGATGTGACCAGGACTGGCCGCCGATTCTGTGGCCTCATCGTTGTCAACGTCGCCGTCCGCATCGGACATGCTCTCCCGCGAACTAAGCAGCGAGTTCATAAGCATGTGTCCGGCACTCGAAGCTGCAGTTAGCTTGCGCATGTTCAGGGGCATGGAGGCTGCCGCGGCGGCTGCCGCCATCTGCGCGCTGCTACTACGCGGGGGCAGAACGAAGGAGCCAAAGTTGGCCTGCGCCTTGGCCTGGGCCACACGCAGATCCTGCGCCATGTCCAAATGGAGGCGACTTTCCTCGCCGGCCGAGCTATAGGAACGATGCGAGTCTGGCGGTGGTGGAGCTGCGGACACGGACGGCGGATGAAAGTAGTCAACCAGCTCCTGCTTGATGTCCAGCTCATCCTGGTGCTGGCCATGAGCATGATGCTGCAGCGTATGGTGGCCATGATGCAGTTGCTCGTGTGCATGACGAGGGGTTGCCGCACGTGCTGACACAGGACTCGACTTTAGCAGATGATTCTTGTGCGCCTCGTGCATGTTCGTGTTGGTGTTGGGTATTGGACTAGACCCGGCCTCGCTCAAGGCAGCTGCAACCAGCGCTTGATCACTGCCAGGATTTTCGGGGGCACCGTGCGTGCTACTCAAGCCACCGTCTTCGCTGCCTCTGCCTCCGCCCATGTTGGAGGAGATCGGCGAGCGGCGTTCCACTTTGGCCGCCAGCTGTCCGAGCGCTGTGGCTGTCGCTGTCACCGCCGCCTCGTCCCTCATGGTATTGTCTTCGTTATCCGACGTGTCGACGGTCTTGTGCGGACTTGGCTGGAACTCGCTGCTGCTGCTGCCGCCGCCGCCGCCGCCTCCGACCGTGTAGGGCGTGCCACTGGCACCGCCATAAGACATGGGCAGAGCAACGCGCAGCTGCTGCGGCTGAGAATTGGGTATGCCGCCTCCGGGTCCGCCGCCGGCACTGCCTATCGGAGGCGAGTACTGGCCCGCAGTGTTCCAGTTGTCCAGCTGTGTTTGACTACTTGCTATCAGCATGGGTATATTCAGGCCCATCTGCAAACGAAACAAGGTAAGACAAAATATAAGCTATTGCCACGGTCAAAATCAATGCGACTGTCAAAAATACACCACTAAAATAAGACTCAGCTTTATGACTCAATTCATATCAAGATAAAACCCATGGCCCCACAACAAGGTCGATGCTCCCCGCTACTGTTAAGCACCCGCCTTTTTAATCTACATTTCTGAAGAACGAGATAATCGCTAACTTATTAAAAAAAAAAAGGTGATATTATGAAACTAAAAAGATATTCTAATTTGTTTCTATAGCTTAATAGGTGTTGGCTAAATTGTTCCCGTATAATACTCCCAGTCCCATTTGGAACTGACTATGATTAATTCTTTGACAGTGTTTTTCCCATTCTCGTTATCAAATCGCTCTCCATGACCCCCCTTTGGGTTTAATGCCAGAAGTTTTCGAGCATTAACAAATCGAAAATAGGATATTTGTTCTGTCAGCAAATCACAATAAGATTCTTATACTTCTTCTTGAATATCGTCCAATGGCACGTCAAGTGAACCTCCATAGATCACAATTAGAAAGTGAACCATGTTTAATTGGGACAAGGAGAGGTCAACCCCATACGTAAATCATAAGGGACCTCTCTGGAAGTTTTCTAGCGTTGTCCGGCAGTTCTGCTCCAAAAAAGATATGCAGAGATGTAACACATTTAAAATGTGCTCGAGGATTAATAAGATATGAAACCGTAATCAAAATTCATGGGAGCACAGCGCTCGGATAGATGAGGAAGGAAACGAGAAGGTCTTACAAGAATGCACACATAAGTAAACGACAGAAGATTAAGACGCTTCGGGTCTCTCCTTTGGAAAGTATAAAAGTTTAAGGAAGTTGCCGAAAAGGGAATCCTGGAATAAATTCTGCGAGATACTAACTAGCAGCGCTGAAGAAACCAGCCTAATTAGGACTACTCTGTAGAAAGCAGTCGGGAGTGTCTGGAGCTGCCCATACAGACTTACTTATCTAGATGCTGAGTAAGATGGAGATACAAATAAGAGAGCTTAAAAAAAAAACAAAAGACCAGCCATGCGACAAGGTGTGTTATCTTGCCATGGTTAACGAAGATCTTCAAGGAATATATGCCGAAAAGCATGTAGAGAAGATAAAGGCAGGGAAGATCATTTACTGATTACGTCCAATTCCTCTAACAAAACTACTTCGACAACTAGGCCTACAGCATGTCTAACTAAAAGATAGATCAGTTGGTGCACTGCACAAGGGGCTGGGGAGTTAAAATAAGTCTGTGGAGGCTTACATTGACAACTTTCCTTGACATCGAAGGAACGAAGATTTATATTTTCTTTGAAGTGTAATCTTGTTCTCAATGACCAAGGTCTCCATATTCGTATGGTAATAGTTTGTGTATATTTTATCCAAAATCAATACGAGTTAAGAATCTGCACTTGGCTCGACCAACAACTAAACGGCCTGGAATTCAACCTGCCAAAAGACGAACAGGTGTCGCCATTCAGATACAGATTTCAATATTTTTGATTTGTGCGAGGAACGACATTCCATATGTAATGCCTATCTTGTGTATACCCGAAGACTTCTGCTTCTGCAAGTTACATACACATTCACAGATTCAACACACCCTTTACAAAAAAAACTGAGCAAGTGCTACAATCGAAAGAGTCACAAGACAATAATATATTGGAATAGAAGAGGAAATTGTATTCAAGCATATTTAGTACAGTTTTTGTTGGTGTCGGTGCTTCAGCAGCTGTCCTACGTTGCGACGATACCGCAGGTGGGTTATTTTTGGTGCTGTTACCGTTGTTGCAATGCATAGTGCAGATATTACACTTATGTATTTATTATTTTTAATGCGTAATTGTGCGTTTGGTAAATACTTTTATTGTTGCGATCGAACGACACGACAGCGACGACAACGCAACTCACATTGTCCAAATATTCTAGCGGCGTAGTAAGTTTTGAAAAGCGACATCATATCGTCACAGCCAAAGAGAGGCGAGAGCAATCACCAAAGAGAGAGAGCGAGAGAGATCTATGCTTTTTGTTGTTGTGTTATCGCATTATCTTGTATGTGTGTGTGTGCATGTGTGTGCCGAGTGGGAGAGAGTAAGAAAAAAAGAGAGATCGTATCTGCGAGCGGCGCTTAACAGTTGGAAGTCATGAAAATATAGGCAGCCCATCTCGTACGTGGAAGAAGCAGAGCGAGCAGGAAAGATGAAAAGCTACACAGCAGCAGTTCATTAATATTAACAACCTACCCCACGTTGGTGGGGCGTACGACAATATGCTAATGTACACAGTCATCGGCGATCATTCTCCTCTCACTCTATTTGCCTATACTCTTTGGGGCCTGAATCGTCATGTCTCTGGCGCCTAGAACTTTCTACGATTCACAAAAACAACTACCGAACTGCTATTCGTTGTTTGTGTCGTTTGCCGTTTTGCTTTGTTGTTATTTTTATTGCTGCAGCTGTTTTTGGTTGTTGTTTACGTAGTTACAGCTAGCGTGCATGTGTGCGTGTCTGACTTGTTTTTGCGTGCTGCAGCAGCAGACGGAGCCGCTAACAAAATTAACTCTCTCTCAGTGTATATATATATGCATGTACGTAGCCATGTGTATCTTTACGTTCACGTGTATGTGATTTTATGTATGTAGAAAATTTACTCTCGCTGCATGTGTGTACGTGTGCAACTGAAAAATGTAAACAAACTGATTATCATGCAATCCAACGAATAAATAACCCACAACAACTACGCTACACACCGTGTTGTCTAATCCTTTTGGCACCACATATGGAGCTGTTCTACCCACCCCTCTCTCCCCTTTTTTCTACGCCAATGATATTTTTGCACAACAAACCCGAAACTAATACACTCACATTCATAAAACTGCATCAAACTGCATCAATTTTGTCGCCGTCACGTCGCCCAACTGTGAATGAGCTTCGCGTCATCATAGTCGGTCCTTTGAATAGTCACACTTTTTCACCAGTTTCCAGCAGGCTAACAAATCAGAGCTGTGAAGGATTTTCAACCCTAAACACAAAACTGTTTGTCCTAACTAACTAACTGATTGGTGATCAACACGCACAGTTCAAACCTTAAGAGCTAGAAAGCTGAAATTTTTATTTCAGTTACCTCTAAAACGAAATTCCACCCGCAAGTGTGGAAAAATTGCGTTAAAACGATAATGTGAAACTTTTTTGTTTACCATCTTATCGTCGTCAAATTCATTTTCAAATATCTTTGTGAAAATTGGATTTGGATTTGGCCATGCTTTTGGTGGAAGAACTTTGGAATAAACTTCAACTATTTAACCTTTGAACCGCATTTTCCATGGTAGACGGCACCTCCATCCTGTAAGGTAACTGCAGGAAAAATATCCTAGCAGCTACAGTTTTGGGCTGGTCGATGATCACCAATCAGTTAGTTAATCGGTCAGAACCAACAGATTGAACATTTCTATATTATTATTCTCCAATACGGCAGGACCGAGTACTGGGCGATCTATGTACATATATCTCCCACAGTTTCAAGGAAAGTGATTAACTTTTACGGGTAGACTACTAATATCTGCTCTTTAGAGATTCACTATTCGAAATAGCTACTTTGTGGTTACAGTTTTAGAGTCACTATTTTAATAGTTACGATAATTTTAAATTTGTCGTCAGGATATTATAAATTGGTCAGGAAATGTTTAACGCATACAAAGCGACGTCTTCGACCCCATAAGGTATATATATATATCTTTGTATATTCTTGATCACTACCCGAGTCGATAAAACCTTGATAGTCTATTTCTGTGCAAATTAGACTCTATAGTCTATAGTTCTACAGTCACGAAACTTTCCATACATATGTTCGTCTTTTTGTACCAGGCACCACTTTTGTCGGAGTCGGCCGAATCGGACCGATATATATTATATGTACATAGCTGTCATAGGAACGATCGTTCAAAAATAATGAATTATGAATGAATGAATTGCTTATGCATAACAAAATTCCCCATATTTCTTTCCTTCTTCAAGTCACCAAAAACAATCAGAATAAGAGAGTTTCGTGCGATTTTTTGGATTTGGTGGGCTTAAGCACTTAAACATACCGAGGTAATTGAAAAAACATTGAGCACGTAAAAAACTTTATAGAAATATCGGACGATATTCATAATATGACGTTATTATCTTTATGTTGAGAGAGGAATGGAAGATGTACTGGAGAAGTTAAAGGACTAGTTGGAGTAATCCTTCCGGGTTAAAAATACCATATGTATGTGTACATCTTGGTGAAACAACCTTAATAAAAATGAGCGTCTTACTTTACGTCCAAAAAAGCGAGTAGTTACGGATATTTAATATTTGGTTAGTTATACGAGGCCATTTACCTTTCGGCGTGACAACGATATTTGTGTATGATGTTTGTAGAATCAATTGATTAAATAGGTTTCACACCTATTATCATTCCGCGCTTCTAAGCTAACGCTTACCAGAAGATATTTATAATCGCGCTCGTAAGTTCCGTTGAAAGACACGCTTTCAAGTAAATGCTCCAAAATAGCCAAAATTCTTGCAAAACTTTCGCGAAAACAAACGGCCAGCTCGCCTTTTAATGTGGACCTTACCCCACCGTCGAAGTCGATTTTCAGCCAAGCTGGCAACGCTGCGCGCATAGCTAAGCAACTTTGCGATGAATGAGTAAACAAAACCGAACGCTGGCGTCACAGTCGCAGTCGCTGTCGACGTCGCCGTCGCAGTCTGCTGCGCTGCTTTCGGTTGCATTGCTTACTGCTGCTGCTGCTGCTGCTGCTGCTGCTGCTGCTGCTGCTGCTTCGACTACTGCTTCTTATTTGCGTTTGCACTTTTCAAACCCGCCGCGCTGCGGGGGGTACCCGCACCAGGCATTTCATAAAAGCGCATGCGAGAGAAAACAAAACACGCAAATTACAAACACAGCAACAACAGTTGCTTCTGCTCCATCTACAGGAACAATAGGAAACAGGCGTGCATTTTATAAACACAAACAAACGGAAAGGGGATTAGGGACAAGAATATGAAATTTGAGGGGCAGGGCAACGGTATCAAAATGCAGTCAACGCGTGTGGCGGCGGTAACGCAGCGCAGCGCCAAGTCCACGTCAACGTCGCCGCCTGGCATAACCACAACATTGCGGGCCGCGAGTCCCAGCAACAACAAGGTAAACATATTGTTGTTATTTGGTGTCTTGGAGAAAATTCCACAACAAAACAGTTGTAAAATATGGGCAAAATTACGTACACACAATTTACAATCATATGTACATACATACATACATACGTGCATATGCGATTTGGGGTAGCATAGTGGGCGTGAGCGTCATCACTGCTGTTGCCTGCACGCCCAAATAATGAAGAAAAACAAAAACAACTCAGCCATGAGAAGACAGTAAAAAGTGTAAGGTGTAGGCGAGCAAGGTGTTAAAAGTTCGAGGGGTGGCCATGGAGAAGAATGCAATTTTATGTTTTCCTCTGGAAAAATAGTAAAGTATACATATGTACGCTACAAGAGTAATAATAATAACGAGTAGAGTATCTGGACAAATCGCTTGCGTTACCATTGCCACGCCCACTCACTCTGTCAATATCCAATTCTTACGAAGAACAAAACTATATTTATTTTTTAGAAATAACAGCAAAACAAATGAAAACAGGAGCATCGAACAACTACAACAATACTGCTGCTTGCTGGCATTTTGTTTTGATAACTCTGACAAACAGAAGAGAAACAGCAAAAACAACAACGGCGGCAACCGTACTACAAAACAAATGAAAACCACAGGCCCAAGTAAAAATAAAAACAAAAGCGCACAAGGAAAATGAACAGCAAACGAATTACAATCAACACACATACATACATATGTATGCATACTTACGTACATACATACAGATGTTTTTATAGACGCACACACATTCATGCACAAGAGTGTATGAGAGGGGCACAAGGGAGGCCACGGGGCAACCACAAACCAAAACATCACAACAACGATAGCAAGTGCTACGCGCATTTTGCCGTGCAAAACAAACATTTCATCAGACAAAAACAGAGCATGTGAGCGACAACGGCGACGAAATGTCAGCAGCGCTCGTTCCCCTCATCGGCAACGAAAGCTTGCTTGCTTGGCGCGACAAAGCAAATACATAAAAACAACTCACGCACACAGTGCACATGATTTAAATATATATATACAAACATACATATGCACAGATTCTCGCGTAAGTCAGGGCAATACCTCACGCACACAACGGCAAGTTCCTAAGAAAAATTTATGCGTAAAATTTTAATTCTGTTTTGATCGTCAACAACAGAACACATACACGGCACAAACACACACACACGCACGCACACACACAAAACGATCCGGACAAAAATTGTGAGAGAGACAGGAGAGGCAAATGCTGCTGCTCTCACCCTCTCCCTCTCTCTCTCGCTGACGGCAGCAGAAACAGCAAGTCACTTGCGCACATGGCGTTTCATTTGACTCTCAGTCAGCGTATTCAGCACAGTTAACTTTGCGCTTTTGATTGAAATTAACACCCGAATGACAACGAGAGTGAATACCAGTGTGTGTGTGTGTATGTGTACACACACACAGGCATAGGCAAATATATTGTATAAACATTAATATTTTATGAATTTAATCCTCGGGCATTTGAAACTTCATAAATATGATTGAAAAAAGGGAAGTGAGCTTCAAGTGTTTATAAAAAATAATGCTAAATGTGCACTTTTGATAATTATGAAAATAATGAAAAACGGAAGATAATAGCACAAGATTGCATCTATTCTAAATTCGTATTTGTGCTAGTCATGTTCATGGCCAAACAGAACGAACACCCGAAGGGGTGATCCGAACCCCTGGGGCACGAATGGGTTAAAGGTCCGCTTGGCTAGTCAATGGTTGCCGTCGCTCTCCGCTCTCCGCTCTGCTGTTTGTTTGTCACTGTTTGGGTCTTTGTCATTGGAAGAAACGCTTACGCATTCGGTTATTTTTTGCGCCGATTACTCACCGCTCCAAAATATTTCAGCTCTTTGGTTTTGATGCGTCTGTGCTGCGATGCAGGCGCTCCAGTTGCGGTTGTCGTGGCACCACCAGCACACCCAATCGGGCCGGTGGCTCCGCCGTTGGCCGCCGCGGCGATGGTGCTGCTGTCGTAGGCAGCGGCGGCGACCGCTGCAGCGGCCAGGCCATTGAGTCCGTTGTGCGTGGAGGTGGAGGAGGAGGTGGCTATGCCACCGACTGTGGCGCTGGTGGGCAGTCCGCTGAGGCTGCCGCCGCCGGCTTCCATGAAGTCGAAACGCTTGAAGGCATACCACTTGGACGGATTAGGCTGTATACCTTGGTAGATTTTGACAAACATCTTGTGCTTCTCGCGCCTGTACTGGGTGAGCAGGACGTTCATCTTGCGCTCCACCTCGGCCTTGCTGCAGCCAAAGCGATCGGCGATCTCGGACCACGCCCGGAAGCGGCACAGCTTATCCTTGTACTTGGGGTCAGCGCGATTCCACAGCTCGGTGTGGCAGCGATACTGTTCGATAAGCTCTAATGCATCATCGTTGGTCCATTCCATGATTTTAGGTGAACTGCTTCCGACGCCGCTGCTCCTGCCACCGCCTGACCCGATGGCGATCTCGATCCCCACCGCGACTGCCGATTGCCTTCCGTAGTTGGGCGGCAGTGGGATGTTGTGTCGCTCTCGCTGATGGTAAGGATGATGCACGTTTTGGGCGGTTACAAAGCTATCCGGTTTGAAGTTCATTTGCTGTTCCACGCAAATCTCTTTGCTTCTCCGCTCTCCACTCTCCACTAGCTGCTTACTCGGCGGTGGGTGGGTTTGGTTCCTTGGCAATTACTCGATTGATAAGGTTTATATTTCTTCGGGATCTCAGTACTTTTTCTCCTGTTCTATTCGTTTAGGGAATGCTGCGCGAAATGCATTCAATCAACATTTTATCACCTGGCTTTTGGTCATACTCTCGCGACACTGTAATCGAGGGAAACAAGTTCAATTTCGTTATTAGTTTGATTGTGTTTAATGAGTGATAAAATCATCACAATCTTAATCACAAATAGCTTCCCGAAAGAAAGAAAAAGAAAAAAGGGTTTTATTCCAACTCTCTTTACTGTAGGTCGAATGCGGTTTGGAATTTGATTTGGAACTTCGTCATAATGCAATTGGCCAAATATGTTGCTTGCTTTTAACTTGATCTAAGATTTGTTCGGCTTTGGGATAGGAGAATGGAATTTTTACTGGATTTATAGTGATACAATTTTTATTGACTACAACAAGATTCTTTCTATATCTTTTGTCCGAACTATCCTATTAAATCTGTCCTGCTTTCAATAAACTAGGATCCTGATTATCAACAAACTTCAGTTGATTAATCTCGCCTCTTTAATTAATCGTAGAATCATGCTAGGTGTGATATTTAGCTAATCATTCTAACTAGTCAGCGTCTAAACTCGTAAATTGCTTCCGGTCTGTTTTAACCACACACAATCATGTAAATCTATTAAGTTTTATACAATATCACGATCATGAAAATGGAATAAGTTCTATACAAAATTACGGTTGAAATGGACTCTAATTAAACTACTAATAGAATACCCTGTAAGATTAACCCGACTAGTCTAAAAAGTCTTTATAGACCCTTATCTCTTCAATTTCGTCAAACTAACCATGCATTGCATAAGCCGTTTCGGGTTTCTCTTTGTTGACAGCAATAAGCATTACAGGGTATTCTGTTCAGAGTCTTTTCTTCCTCATATTGAATGATAGTCTAAGTCTATAGGCCTAGGTTGTATTTGTGCGTCATACGACTGCGCCTCTCAGTCGATTGGGCGGGGGTTGAGCTGCAGCGCGTTGCATCGATTCGCGCGAAAAACATAACGAGCTTTAGCCAATTTGCTATTTACGTTATTAGCTATCACAGTTTATTTCCATTAATTTTCTTTTCTCGACAATTGTTGGATTTATGGATTATTGACAAATTGTCTAAACACTTTACCTGACCCATGCATATTCAATGACCCCATGACCCCAATAGCGCCCCAATCGAACTAAAACATAGTTCAAGCGGACAAACAGATGAACATTGCACAAAACCAATATACACTATTTTCAACTTTGTGGGTAGAGTATAAAATGCAATGACTAAATAAGAACTCCCAGTCGATCATCAATTTAAAACACTATTTTTTCAGAAGAAAAGTTGTTGTTTTTTGACAACAGATCGGATAAAAAACTCTTCCTTGATGTGACTTAAGACATGTACACAAACATATACATAAGTGTACTTTTATGCTTGACTAAAAACAAAACCTTTCTGTGATCCCTATTGAAGTTCGTGGACACAATGTATTCACAATCTTATGGGCTACTCATACTTAGTCTAGATATTTGCACATATTAAACGATTGTTCGGAAAAGACTCAACGTTGTTTTTCACGTCGTTGAACGAGCGCACGCTGTGTCCGCCGTAAATGACGAACCGTTCGTCGCTTTTCCTGGCCATGAATAAACATTTTCGAAAGAAATTCTCTTGGCATGTAAACGTTTGTGCAAATGTCACAAGTCACAGCGAAAATAACAACATCGATAACAGTCCAGTTATTCACAATAGACGGAAGCTTTTTACACACACACACAGACATAATTAAGCAGGGACACGTGCGCTTTCATTCGGCCGCACTGCGCGGCGGGCTATTTACACACACATGCATATGTATGCATGTATTTATGTATGTATGTATGTGTGCGACATCTCGATTTGACATCTATCTTTGTCGCCCGATTTGCTTCCTGGTAAGTTGTTCGTTTGTTCGGCGTCGCGACTGTTCGCTTGATTATTTAGCTTAGCACGCATTGCATTTAATAAATGCCTTAGTATACGTATTAATGCCTTTGCTCAGAACATTTGCGCAGAGCGCAAATGCTGCTGCGCAAACAGCTGGGTGAATCATAACGGTAAGCGAGTACACAAAGCCACACACACACACACACACACTCGCGCACAGACAAAATCATCGGGAAAAACAATGGAAATTGAAGGTGCACAGTTTTTATAGTTTGTTGCAATATTCACTTGGCTCTGCATTTAATTTTGTTGATTCAGCGTTCAATTAATTAAAAAACGCTCACTTAATGTTGTTTTTAGTGCACTTTGTCTTTAGTTGGGAATATATTTGGTCGATTTTAAGCATTTGCTTATATGTTTTTTTCAGTGTAGCTGTCGCGGCTGTGTTTTTGAAGGTAGCATAGTTTTATGGGATTGCACGGAATTACACGGTATTCTAGGGTTTTTTTTTCACTAGTTTGTAGAAGTTTATGACATTGGGTTTTCCACAAATTCATTAGCGTGCTTGTTTGTTTATTTATAAGTAAATCAGTTGAATCTTTCTGATTGGGATTTTTTATTTATAAACTTTTTATTGCAATTAAACTTTCCACATTCAATTCAAGTATTATACTTGGTATTTTGAGTTATTTTCATAAATATTTATGAAGATCATTTATTAAACATAATTAACTTCACTTTATTGCTTATTCGGGTTGGTATTAGTGTTAATTCCTTAATTGCAAAGAAATTCCTTACAAAATATTCTATTTTACAACCAGAAACAACTTGCTTCCCACAAAGTACTCGATAATAATGTTTATTATGAATTACGAGCTAAAAAGTGAACTCTCACTAATCATGCATATATGACGTATGTGTGTGGCGTGAGTTGCCATAGTTCAAAACAAAAACATAAAACCCGGTTATACATATGTATGTATGATAATAGACGTAAGAGTTGTTCGTATGACAAACGTTTTTTGCCTGCCTTCCACTTGTGTCATTTTCGAAATTCAAGAAAATAGTCGTAGAGCCAAAACAAATCAAACAACGCAAAAAGTAAACAACAAAAAATCGGATCAAAAACTTAAAAATAAATTTCAAGGCACGTAAAAAACAAACCGTAAACACTCGAACGGACACAGTGAGAGGAGATAGTGAATAAAAAAAAATAAATATATTAAAATATATGTTAAATGTATTAAAATATTTAAAGCGTAGTTTGCTTGTGCGTACATATTATTTTACATTTCAGAATTTGTTGTATTTTAGCATTCCATTTTCGAAACTACATATTAGAGCCGTTTCTTCATCGGCATATTTGTTTTTCCTTTATTTGTTCAGCAAACACAATAATAACAACAACAACAACAACGACGACGACGACGAGAACAACAGACAGATTGCTGCTGTTAATGGCACCTCGCCTCCCCCGCACTTGTTATTCAGAAGCACCGCGATGTTACCGTTACCGCTAGTTTCTTCTGCGCGCCTAAATCGCACTCTCTCTCTGATACAACCGCTCGCGAACCACACCAGCTAACGTCTGAATCTAAACTGTGCGTCGCTTTTTCCCGACAAACACTGACAAACTTATCGAAATCGATTTGTAACGAACCTACAAATGCGACGACTGCGACGCGTCGTTGGCTGGGCTGCGTATTGAAATGAAATTTCTCGGTGGACGTTTGAATGAAACAAGCACAACGTACGCACACACACACACACACACACACACACGTATACATATGTATGCACAGAGAACAGACAGCGCCACCACTGCGCTGTTGACGTCTGCAGCGGCAGAGCCGCCACGTTCGGTAAACAGTTGTTTCGTGGAAAAACAAGCCGAACATCATAATGAAGTTGCTGTTGTGAAATTGTACGGTGCTTTGTCATGCTTAAAAAACAACAGCAACAGAGTACGCGCCAAAACACAAAAACGAGGGCAGCTATACATGTATGTGAATGCGTTCCAAGAATAATCAACAGTAATCATGACAAGCATATGAGTACATGTGAGTAGTAAACATACTTATAGATATTTATATTATATTTAGTACGATAGTTTATAAATAAATATAAGTTTTAACATAGTATATGTCCAGTACGAGAGCATGTTTCAAAGCCCATTTAACAGCCCTCGCACGAACGCTAGTTGCTTCTTGGCACCAACACATGCGCAGCGAGTCAAACAAACAAATAGAATGCGAAGCAGAAATGGCAAAAAATTAAACAAACAAGTAGACAGGAGCGGTTCAGGTTTGGACCCAGTCGATAGAGCAGCGGGTGGCGGCTGTTGCGAGGTCGAGTTGAACGAACGAGGGCAGAAAATAACGCTACAATAAATACATCTAAAAATTTCTACTACGGCGTAGTAAAATTTCTATAGGTTGATAGAATTTTGGCTCAATCTGCCATTGCTTAGATATTTGTTTTTGTTTAATTTTGTTTGCTCGTTAGCTGAGTAGGCGACGAAGGGGAATGGGGAGTTGGATGTGTGGTTCGCTGTGCCAGGCAGGTGCTGCGCTACTCTTCCTATCGCCCATTTCTATATGTAGCTGCTTTCTCACTCGCACCCATCGTAGCTTGCTTGTATGTTTGTTTGTTTTTCGTGCCGTGTTTTATTGTTGGTGCTTTTGTTGTTGCTTGGTGCGTAGTTTTTACGTTCGTCATCGTTGGTTTGGTATTTCCGTCTTCTGCTAACGCTGACTTATATATGCTTGTATGTCTGTATGTTTCTTTATACATACGTACATATACATATTTACATAGATATCTCATTGTATAAGGATGAATGTACATCAATATAACATATACACATACATACGTAAGTATATGCAATTTTGGTACACATACAAACATACACATGCATGCATATCAACATACTTATTACATACTTACATACATATACACGTACACGCAAATAAACAAATGAATGTACATACATATGTGCATGTGCATACACTTGCTCGCCTTGAGTGTCACCGTCAGAGTATTTTGCAGTTGTTATTCTGCAAACAAAATGTATTTGTATGCACATGCATACATGCTTGTACACACATACATGTACGTTCATTTGTATATCGTATAAATTGTTATTGCTTGCGTTAGTCTCAGCGGCAGCTGTTTTGTTTTTGTAGCCGCCAGCGCTGCTCACAGTCACCGCCGTTGCCAAAGTGCATTGCGTTTTCACTCTTTGCGTGGGCGGTGCCAAAGCTACTGTTCTTCTTCTTTTAATTGCTCACTCTCTCGTGCGCAGGTCTCACGTGCGGCTAGCCAACCCATGGCTAGTGACAGAACCTCATTGCGATTGCTTTCTTCTAACTGTATTCGCTTTTATTGCAATTTCGTTAATGTGGATAACTATCGGTTGCCAAAGGTTTCGTTATATGTTTTGATTAACTGTTACAGAAAACTTTTCTTGCACTTGCCTTGGAGAAAAGCACATATGTACATATATGAATACAGATGGAAGCATTATAAATATATTTTTATTTATAACATGCGTCTTTATTCCCTGTACCCATTGATTCAATAGATATACAAATAGGCAGAAGGAGGCATTTCTAACCTCATAGAGTATATACATGTATTCTTGATCACGACGTCGACGAGCTATATACTGAAATTTGTTCGACATTTCGTCCGTCTATCTGTCCTTATATATGAAAGCGTCGATCGGGTGTACTTTTAAAGTATGTACTAAGACTAATTTGTTTCAAAAACATTGGTGACGTCACAATCAAAATCAAAATTATTTGCAAAGCTTACTCGAAGGTACTCCACCTTCAAGAGCGGAAATTGAGTGTTTGTATTGCGGTTCTTCAGTGCAGTTTTATCAATTTTAACTTGAAATTTTTGACAAAAGCCAGATCTATCAGATCTTAAAGCGTTTTCGGGATTTTGCAGCTTCATCAATACAATAATTTTGTGCTTTGCTTATGAATCAAATCGATGTAATAAAACTTGAACCGGGCAGCGCCGGGTACTACGGTTTAGTATAGATATAAATAAATATGGTAAGATTTACACAACCCAAATGCGTGCTATGCCCACAGTGAAATTAAAGCAATGCGAAATGCTAATTAGTACAAATTCGATTGCCATAAATACGAAGCTTTTGCTTGTGGACTCTGCAAGTTAACGGTAAAGAAAGCTTGTTGGTGGCCTAGTTGTAATTTAAACGTGGATGGGTGTGGATGAGTTATGTTTGATAAGGACGAAGCTCCCCCTCGACCGTTTATTACGCGGCAAACAAACACTTGTTTGCACAGCAGCGCAAACAAGGAGAGAGAAAGAGAGAGAGAGAGAGAGAGAGAGAGAGAACGCTGGAAAGAGAGCGAACGCAACTGCCATGCTGAAATGTACTCTGTAGTTTTGTGTATATGTATGCATGGATGTATGGACTGTATATACAAGTGTATTTGTGAGAGTCGGTGGAAGCAATTGCAACTAGGAAGCAATAGGAACGTGCGCGACGTGAGCAGCGCAGTCGCTGCTTGTTTACTTCGTGCGTGCGTGGGCGCGGAGGAGAGACTAAGAGAAATTAAGTCGTGTGGGCGGCAAAGAGACCTGACCCGAGCAATAACCAAGTCAGTCCAATCCCCCAGCACAGACGCCAGCAGCGATGCTAACGTCGACGTCAACGTCGCTGAAGGTCATTATGCCGACGCTGGCGTCGCTGCTTCTTTTGAGCTTTTCGCGCTGCTTGTTTTTTTATTGTTGGACTTCGGTTGTGGAATTGTGTAAACATCAGTGGCAGCGACGACAAAAACAAAGGCAACGCAGGCATTCCAAGTAAACAAGGTTTTTTTTTTGCGCCAACGCCAGCCCCTGGCAGAGGCAATGCAAGAAAGTTGAGTCGTGGAAGGGGGAGGTGTCCGTAGGAGACAGCAGCAGGGCAGAGTGAGACAAAAGCAAGGCGACCAGACAGACGAAAGCAGGGCTAATGAAGATGAGCCCCATGTGCTGTTTCGTTGTTATTGTTGTTTACTTTTTGCCGATGGTCGCTTTTGTTGCTGAGCTACAAAAATATGCAAAAACGACAACAACAACGAAGAAATATGCAAGGCAGCCAATACGCAAATAGAAGCAATGAACTTAATTATTTGCTGCTGTTGTCGCACAGCTTAGCGAAAGGGAAGGTAAGAGAGATAAATACAATGTTATATGTTTGTACATACATATGTATATGAACATACATGAATGTATATATAAAGTTATGTGTATGTGTGTTTAACAGTACTTACATACATACGCATGTGTATTAACATACTTAATTGCTTAATTACATACATAAGAATATGCGTGTACATATACATACATACATTTTCTCAAAACTGTTCATGCATTCATATGTACATATGTATGTATACGTAGGATATTTGTACAAACTCGCTCGTGTGTGTGTGTGTGTGTGCGAATACGCAGTGCGCGGACTGCGATTTCGTATTTTAACAATTGGCGCAGGCGTATAAAAAACTTGTTAGAAACGTTTCGTTGCAACCTACTTACATACATACATACATACATGCATGCATGCATAATTTTTTTTTATAGCTCATATCTATTGAACTCATCATCAAGCTTTCGCAGAAAAGACTTATATCGGAAATCATAGGAGGCAGAGATTTTATTTTTGGATTTTTGGGTTTAGTTTGTCGTATGCAATTAAAGATTATTTTATTCCATCGATTTCTTTTCTCTCTCTCTCTTTCTCTCTCACCAATTTCTGGTTAGTATCTCAAGAAATTTTTAAATTTGGCCTTAGGTTTTCGTATTGTATTGTTTTAAATGAACTAAGATTTTGCCTAATTAACAGTTAGCACCCGGCGTTGCACGACTCACATAAATAACTGTTTGTAAGAGAAACTGAAATTGCAAACCAATGCCCTTAACTTTCAAATTCTATTTCAGCTCCTTTATACAATAGAAAATAAGAGGGATACTTACCGTCGGGTGCAACCGACTACGTAATACTCCTTCATGGTCATGCTCTTTCACAGTCCAGCAACAGTTTAAAACGTACGACAAGCCGAATTTATTGCGAGGTTAATCGCAGAAGAAGAGCTAATTAGTAAATTTTTAACTAAATTTACTACAACTAAAATATAATATATATTTTGTGATTTGAAGGGGCGGGCGTGGTCATGGTTACTAAGTTTTTGGTCAAATTTTGTAATACATATCCACAACAAGGCTATAAAAAGTGTGTCTACACTTTTATGCCTGGAAAATGTGACCTTATTTAAAAAAAAAAAAGTAATTTAATTACTTTTAACTTATTGTTACAAAATGTTTGCTGACTTTGGTGTAAAATCAACAGGTTTATGTTGAAAAACGATGTTAGATGTACTTGTTTTCAAAAACAATCGCAAAATAGATAGAAAATTCAAAATACTTTTTCGTTATGGGGTTTTCTTCATCCAGTTATAAACATGTGCACAGAATAATTTTGCTCCTATTTGCCCATCTTTTATTGGTAGTTCCAGGGACTTACAAAAAAAAAAAACCAAATAAAAAGAAAAATTAATTGAAGCATCAATTTGTATGTGAGCTCCTTTGCCGATTGTTCCGTGCACTGACATATGCACATATTTGGGT